AGAGCAAGACAAATGAGTGTGCAGGGAATAACAGTAGCAAGAGACTTGGGTTATGGTGTTGAGATCCTGAATGGGAATAGCTTTGTTTATGCTGTTCCCTCTAAGTTATAGTATACAAATATTAATTAAGCCATACATCTTTATGAAGCATATGGATAATTTCCCCTTATTACAGAAGGTAATAAGGAAGCGTTTAGGGTTATATTTTAAAGATGAAGAATCACATCAAAATTATATCTTAGAAAAAATTTGGTAAAAAATCCCACTTTTTTGGTGCATAGCCTAAACTTTTTTCCCAAGTTCAGTCTTTTTCTGAGCCTGTAGCAAGAACTGTGCACTCAGTAGGTGCAGACTCTAAGGAGGCAGAGAGACTTGGTAGATTTAGGCAACTGAATTCTGGCCTTTGCCTTTGTTCCAGTGCCCACAAGAGTAGTTTTTACAGTCTTCTTCCTGATTTTAATTTTGAGCACTGAATTCTAAACAATAAAATCAATCTGAAAATCTTCCTGCAAATTTCTGATAAATATGCAATGTGACTGCAGGGCAGGAAGTGTGTGCCTCTGACACAGGTGATTGCGGGTGACATCCGTGACTGATGCTCCAGGAAAGAGTCAGGAGGGCAGCAGGAAGAGCATTTTCAGCTGCTGGGTAAATGCTGGGTAGGTGAGCAGTGGAATGGCTCATGCCCCAGATGAGGGTGAAGATGGTCAGGGGTCGTTGCCCTAAAGATGGTAATGTTATTGTAAAATTGTTGCAATAACCCCACCATTTGTAGGAATTGTGATTTGTACAAAAGAGTAAAGGAAAGCAATGTTCTGAAGGCAGATTGTGCTGGCCTGCAGGAGCTCGGGAGTGGGATGTGTGCCAGCAGAGGGCAACAGCCCGGAGCGCCGCTGGGCAGGCTGGTGCTGCTGCAGCACCCGCCGGAATGGGAATGCTGGCACCCACCGGAATGCACATCCCGGGGCAATGCTGGCACCCACAGGAATGCACATCCTGGGGGAATGCTCATCCCAGGGCAATGCTGGCACCCACCGGAATGCTCATCCCGGGAGAATGCTCATCCCAGGGCAATGCTGGCACCCACAGGAATGCTCATCCCGGGGCAATGCTGGCACCCACCGGAATGCTCATCCCGGGAGAATGCTGGCACCCACAGGAATGCTCATCCCGGGGGAATGCTGGCACCCACCGGAATGCTCATCCCGGGAGAATGCTGGCACCCACAGGAATGCTCATCCCGGGGCAATGCTCATCCCGGGGCAATGCTGGCACCCACCGGAATGCTCATCCCGGGAGAATGCTGGCACCCACAGGAATGCTCATCCCGGGGCAATGCTCATCCCGGGGCAATGCTGGCACCCACCGGAATGCTCATCCCGGGAGAATGCTGGCACCCACAGGAATGCTCATCCCGGGGCAATGCTCATCCCGGGGCAATGCTGGCACCCACAGGAATGCTCATCCCAGGGCAATGCTCATCCTGGGGCAATGCTCATCCCAGGGCAATGCTCATCCCGGGGGAATGCTGGCACCCACAGGAATGCTCATCCCGGGGCAATGCTCATCCCGGGGCAATGCTGGCACCCACAGGAATGCTCATCCCGGGGCAATGCTCATCCCGGGGCAATGCTCATCCCGGGGCAATGCTCATCCCGGGGGAATGCTCATCCCGGGGGAATGCTGGCCTGGCTGCTCCTGCCCCTGCTCTGCAATCACAGGCTTCAGAACACAGCCCACCCGTGGGAGTCTCTCACTGCCAGAACATCCCTGGTTCCAGCCCTGGGAAGGTCCTCACCTAGGAGGTCTCCCATCCTTGTGAGCCTTGTGAGAACTTGGATTCCTGTGAGCTGCTGCAGTAGGTAAATTGTAGCTGCTGATTTGGTTTTGTTACTGAATTCCAGCAGCAGCTGGACAGCAGATACCCTCAGGACTCCTCTGCTGAGGCATCTCCAGGTCCCCTGGGAGCCAGTACCTGACCAGCACCTCCAAGTGACTGCACTTAGCCTGGGAGCTAGCAAGGCAGCTGTTCCAGCAGATACCCTATACATTGCATTTCTTATATTAATATCCTTAGTGAACCTTTTCCAAGAAAACATACGGTCTAAATACAGATCTATCTAAATGAGTATCTACTTAATTAGGATGACAAAAGAAGTTTATTTAGAAGGGACTTCTGGAGATGATCTTGTTCAAAGAGCCCTCAAAGCAGGACCAGCTTCAGGGTGAGATCAGTTTGGTCACTCAAAGATAAATATATATACTTAATATATGCATTAAAAATAAATATGTTTATATAGATCAACATATATTTTTATCTAAATATCTGTATCTCTAAAAAAAACAGAATGAAAAATAGTTTAGGCTGTGAAGATGCAGGTTTAGAATCTTCTGTAAATGCAGTGTTTTATTTACACCTTTCCCAGCTCTTCAATGATGAAACCTTTTTTGAAGGAAGATTTTTGAAGAAGATTTCTGAAGGAAGTTGATTAATAATTTCAAGGACACAGCTCTTGCAGACATAGGAAGGATTTTTCCCAATTTGATGCCATTTGCTTTCTGCTGGGTTTTTGGGAGGGGCAGTGACCTTTCAGGCTTCTGCAGAGGCTGTGGAGATTGGCAAGGTGCTGTCTGATTGTACTGGGGCTCTTCACAGAATTAAGTTCTTGTAAGCACTCGGTGTCCTTTCCTTATAGCCTCAGCATTAAACCAGCTGCTGACTTTTGGGCCAGGAGAGTTTTGGATCAGATTGGTAGGGATTGTTTTTATTCCCTCCCTTTGTGCCACTTTTATTGAAGAAGTTCCTTGCTGCTGTGGAGACACTGGCAATGCTTTTCTCTCTTGTCTCCCTGTGGCTCCTTGGAGCTGGGGGCTTTGGTCTTTCACCGTAGATCTGAAGATTGTCACAGGAATCTGGGAAGGTTTTGATGGGCTGAGGGATGGTGGGACTGGCTGGGACAGGTGTTAGGGGACCTTTCTACTCTGAGAATTGGTTATATGGTTGTCAGTGATTGAAGGTAGATTAGATATAGGAGTTATTTTCGACTACTTGAGACTAGAAATTTTTGAAAGAGGCTGGAAAAATTCCACCCATCAGGTGTCACTCATTCCTTTTAGCTGAATGCTTTTTCAAGATACCAGTCTTTGCTTAAAAACAAACAAGAAGTTTTTGCCTTGGGGTTGTTACCAACATGATTATTTTGCAAGGCTGCTGTAAAAATAATCTCTGATTATTGGAACATGCTTTTGTTCCATTCCAGCAAGGACTATTCACTGTTTAGCTTCTCTGTCACTGTACCTTTCAGGATTTGTAGAATCCAGTGGTACACAAGCCTGTGGGGCAAAGCATGTAAGAAGGTATTGCTGGTTTGGTTTAATTTAGGTGCTTTGCTCCCAGGTTGATTGGAGTGAGATGTAAATTTTTAAGGTGAAAGCCTAATGTTTTGTTATTGAGAAACTTAGTGTTAATAAAAATACACAGGCACTTTGCAGCAGTTTCAGGACTTGCTCTTGTATCTGGACTTTTTATGATTACTGAGGGATTTACTCAGAGGAAACAAGTTCTAGCCCTCATTTCCGAGGTAAATTCTACTATTTTTATATACTGGCTTTTTCTCTGGTTTGAGCTTGTGTCTTGCAGTTTTGCATGTTGTGCATCAACAGTGTAAGACTGGACATGGGGAAAGTACTTGAGGATCTGGATGTTTTAAACTGATAGTTTAACAGGATTCTCTAGGGAAAATGAAGGAATTTTGCCTGAACTGTGTGAAGTTTGACTTCATGGCTTTATCTGTATTCCTTCTGTTTAGGGGTAGGCTGCCAAATGGTGTTTAAATAGCAGGACTCTCAATCCCCATGTGTCTTTGATAAAGGCCTTTAAGTTTCAGGTGTGTTAAGTTTTCTTACCTCAACAATTAGGGTGATGAGTCATTAAGGTTCTCAACAAGCTTTTGAAACCCTCCTCTGGAAGGCACAATAGCATCTGTTCATCATTGCTGATAGGTTTTAAAATGATGTATGAGACTTGGGCTGAGGACATGGCTTCAGGAGAAACATACAAGAGCGAGGTAATTTTATTTATAAAAGAGATGAAATGGCATCTTCAAAGAGAAATCTCTTGATACTTCCAGTTATCTCTTCCTCTTGCACAAGAACATTTTGTGAGTGGATGAGTAATGAAGAAGGCAAATGTTTCTTGTCTTTAATGCAATTAACCTCAAAGGCCTCACTGGTGCAGAATACAACTGAAAAATTCTTTTAGAAAAAGATTTATGCAGAACTCTGTGCATTTGTATCAATTGGAATAAAAATGACAAATGTAATTTAGTTCAGTGCTTTAGGCTAAATAGCACCTGCAGTTGAGAAGGACCCATGTTGCCTATGCAGGGTCTATCTATAACAAATCCTTTTGGCCTGATGGATTGCATAAAGGACAGGAAGGCTTTGATAAATTGGGGAACTGAAGGCAAGATCCTGCTTTCTGCTGTGGGAGTGGGGAGACTTCGGGGGGCTGGGACTCCCTCCTTCCTCACCCCCCCTGCTCCTCTCCTGCGCTGCCCTGTGCGCGGGCTTGACCTCGGCACTGGGGATGCTCAGCCTCTGAATCTCCGGTCCAGTCCGTGGATCGCAGGGACTGGAGCGCTTTGGGCCACCCGGAGGACAAGTCCCGGCAGGGGACGGATGCGGGGCCCGGGGGCTGCCCCGCGGGGCCGGCGCTGCCGGTGCCGCTGCCGGCGGGTCCCGCTCGGGCCGGCCCGGCCCGGGGCTGCCCCTGACCGACTCCGCTGCGGCAGCGGGGCCGTGCCGAGCCCGGGGTGCGGAGGGCGGTGCGGGGCGGTGCTGCCGTTGCCCGGAGACGCTCGCAAGCCCCGCCGCGGAGGGGAGGGGGCTGCGCGGCGGCGGCGGAGCGGCGGCAGTCGGTGCGGAGCGGCGGGGCGCGCCCGGCACGCAGCGCTCAGCGCTCCGCTCCCGCAGGAAGCGGCTCCGCGGCGGGGGCGGCCGCTCGCAGCCATGCCGGGCCCGGGGCGCTGAGCCGGCCCCGCCGCCGCCCCGCACAATGGAGGAGGAGAGGTGGGTACCGCCGGCAGGCAGCCTTTGTGTCCGCCCGGAGCGCTGCGGGATGGGGATGCCCTGCCCGGGGCTGTGCGCAGGAATGCGGGGCGCGGCTGCGGGGACCCCGGCGGGGATGAACGCCTCCTGCCGCGGGAGCCCGCCAGCCCCGGGGATGTTGCAATGTCATGGTGACAGCGGCGGAGCCCCTTGCCGAGCAGCCGGGGGGCTTCCGTGCGATGTGCTTGGGATGGAATTAAGGACGTGAGGGACGCAGGTCGGGGGTGTTCGCTAAAATGGAGGTGCGGGGCAGGGGGCTGGGATGCAGGACAGGGGGGTGGGATGCCGGGCAAGGAGGAAGGGTGCCGGACAGAGGGGTGGGATGCAGGACAGAAGGGTGGAATTCTGAACAGAGGGGTGGGATGCAGGACAGAGGGGTGGGATGCCGAACAGAGGGGTGGAATTCCGAACAGAGGGGTGGAATTCCGAACAGAGGGGCGGGATGCGGGACAGGGGGGTAGGATGCAGGACAGGGGGGTAGGGGGGTAGGTAGCTGCCCCGCCGGCACAACGTGCTGGGCTGGTGTGTGTGCCCTGCCTGCGCCTGGAACATCAGGCAGCCGACTTCGGCATTCGGCTCAGGACAGAGTCGCTGATATTCGCTGCTGTTCTGAGTCACGAGTGAAAATCCCCGACGCCCGTGGGTGCTTTGGGGTCGGTTTTCCTGCCGGGCGCTGTGCGGTGCTCGGGCAGTGCAGGGCATCCCGCGCCTCCCTCGCACGGTAGCCGGGCCGTGTAGACTTTATTTCCTGCCAGGCAGCTATTTTGCTCCAAAACCCGGGTGAAGAAGTGTTTACAGAGTCGACCTAATGTCCACTGAACCCATAAAAGATATTATTCTGCGCAGGGACCTCGTGAATGCCAGAGATGTTCAGTGTTTTGGCTCTGCCCTCATTGCTCCCCTCTGTCAGGTGCCTTTTGCACACCAGAAGCTACTTGTGCTTCTTCAAATGAAACGTTAAACTGCTCTGGGTTTTTTACAATATTTTTTTAAGAACAGGATATGCTGAGTGCTTCCTTTTGTGCTGGCGACCTTGCAGGGAGTGGGGGAACAGAGAGGGGGCTTGACCTGCTGGTAGGACTAAATGTCAGGGCTTGACAGGAGTTTTGTTTAAATATGATACATTAGAAAATTAAGCTGGAGTCAACCCCCAAATTCAGGAAATTTTCCTTCTGTTGAGGGAAAACATTCACAGCAGCCTGTAGGAGTTGTTTTCCAAGCTCCAAAGGGCAGCTTTCTACCCTTCTGTGACTCAAGGGTTGCAATTGTTTGTGTATTTAATGTGCAAAACCTTTCATCCTGCCACGTTTCTCATTGCAGGGCTTCTGCTTCCCCTAATGGTGTGAACAGTCACCTCTGAATATTAATCCAAACATTAATTAATTTCAAGTGCCTTGAAATCTTAGTTTGTCACGCTAGATGCCAGCTCATGGAATGAGATTTCCTTTTCTTGTTTGTTTTTATTTTTTTTCCTCTTTATTTTTATAAATGAGCCTGTGTTTGAGGAAATGGAACAGAGCTGTTTTGATACCCCAGGCTGGGCTCATCCTTGGCACAGTTGTTTGTTACTTTTTTTTTGATGGCTACCAGCAATGGTCTCATTTTGACTGGAGGCCTTTTTCTGGGGATACAGTGGTGAAAAAGCCCCTGGGAAAATACCTGGACTGTTTTACCTTATCCTGTTTTTTCCAGACCATCTGTTTTTAGGGCATGAATGACTATCCCCATCAGCATGTTCTCTGCCTCTGGAAGTGAGGAATGATTACCCAAATTGCTGCTTTCATTTCTAGTTTTTGGGAAGAGGAAGGCAATCCTGAACTGGTTGTGGGCAGTAACGATGTGGGGTTTGACTCTTGGCAAGAAAAGCTGGAAATATTCACCTGCTTTCTGGTTAAAAGGGCACAGTGTGTGGGGCTGTGCTGGGGCTGCTTTGGCTGCTCAGAGCAAGTCCTGGGAGGAGGTGCTCAGAAATGAGCTTGGTGGGCTCAGTCTGTGCTTGGTGCTGTGCTTTTGCCCCCCATTTAAACTCAGATCTGTGTTGGGCAGATTGCTCCTCAAATTTTACACTTGGTGGCTTTCATTCTGGCAGAGTTCCCCCTGGTTTTTAATATTGTTGCATTTTCCCTTTTTGTGGTCGGTGAGGATCCGTGTTGTTGGTGCTCACTTCACCTCTGACTCTGGTCCTGAGCCTGCCCAGACTCAAATATCCTGTTAACTTGCACACCCAGGACACTCAGTGGTATCATGTGCCCATGTCATTGCACATGAGCAGAAGCACCTGAGGGCAAGGGAGATTTAACCTGAAACATTCACATGTGGTAATAACATATTTCAGAATCCTGCTTTTCTTTTACTGTGCTCATAGTAAAATGATGGTACTTCTATTTTATGGAGAAATTGCATAAGGCTTGCAGTTAGGGATGATACTCTGGTTCTGAATTTGCAAGAGTTTGAATAGGAAAAAACCCTCTGGAATGCTAATTTTTGTTAAAATATTAAAACACCTGTGGTTTTATATTTAAATGAAGGTAGTCTGTGGTATCTGAGAAATACAATACTTGTCTTTGAAAGCAAATGGTATTGTCATATTTGAGTTATTTTGTGTTGTTTCCATTAGTGTCAGCAAGGACTTTTCTTCTCACTAGTTCCCAAAGTCTTCTTTCCCCCTGAGGTCTTCTTTGATATGAATACCCTTTTAGGGATCTGCTGTATGCCAATTGTGTGTTTTCCTAAGCTAATGTCTCCATGTTGATCTAGGCACTGAAAAAAAATCAACAAAATAGGAAAATAATATTGCTATTAAAAGAAAAATAATCCTTTGCATTATGCTGCCTCCCATATGTTTTAATGAAAATGCATTTCTCTGAAATCCTCTCAAAACCCAGTTCAGTATGTGGATCCCTTCAGTCACAATTTTTTAATACCTTTGTATGTACCTAAATACAAATTCAGAAATTGAGATTTTTATAATTATGCCATTACATAGACATGTTTTCCTTACTGTGTCTGCCTGACTAGAGGAATAAAACTATTGGGCATAATGTATTTGTCCTGTGATTTGGGGTGCTGATTCTAAACAGAGAATCAGGCCAGTTAAAGTAAAATGCTTTTTCATTGTGCTTAGAGTAAAACTAAGACTAATTTTGGTCTCTGTTGATTTTTGCACAGGTATTAAGGTTTTGAAGACTACTATCTGCTATTGGGCATCTGTCAGGTTTTTAGACCAGAGTGATGCCAAACCTCTAAGAAATGTAGATTAACATTTCCTGGTGATAATTCTTACATATCCCCCAAAGAAGCTCCACAGGCTTTGGAAATTCATGGTTATAAGGCACTTTTAAGTGAATCCAAGGGTATGAAGCTGCTCCAGAGGTGCTGGATTGCCCGTGCAGGATTCTGAGCCTGGCTGGGTCTCTTTGGTTGTGGTGCTGAAGCTCTGCAGTGTTGGGGACCAACCAGGAGAGCAGAGCTCAGCCTGTGGTGCTGAGGCAGGAGAGGAGAGCAGTTCCCAGGGACCCTCCAGGGATGCACAGTGGGATGAGGCTGGCCTGGCCATGTCTGGTGTGCCATCCCCACTGGGAGAGGGGGGCTCTGTGGGGTTCATGTTGGGCTGGGAGCTGAGCCTGGGGGCTGTTCTCCCAGAAACATGAGCAGAACCTTGCCCTTCTGTGCTCTGAAGGAGACTGCATTTGAGATCTGCCCTTCCTTCAGGGTGAGCTCCTGGCTCCCATAAAGCCAGTGTTAGAACTGGATTTGGCAGAGCTGGGATTTTTGTTCCTGGGGTTTACCAGCTCTCTGCACGGCAATAATCTTGCCAGGGGACAGTTTATCTCTAAAAGGAAGGCTTTTATTCTTTCACATAATCTACAAAGACATCTGTAATTATTGCTGGTAACTAAGGCAACCCAACTTTACAGTTGGTACATGTGGGCAGCAGAGCAGTGGGGTATGGGCTTTTCAAACACCTTCCTGTCAGCTGAGGGTGGCCACACTGGGGCAGGAGCTGGGCTGGGAACCCTGGCAACCTGAGCCCAGCTCTGCTAGGGGGTCCTGGAGAGGAGGAACACGGTGTCAACAGGCTGGTGATTAGCTTCACTGGCTTAATTGGGGACTCTCAAATAGGGGTTCATTTGTTCTACTTGGGGACATCATTGAAAGGCCACGCAGGAGGGGGCAGCGGGGCTGGCACTGTCTGAAACTAAGAGCCTCTCTGCTCATTTTAGGAGCATCCTGCTGTGCCTGTAAAGAGGATGTTCATCTGGCCCAGGGAAATTAAATCATTTGTCCATTCACTGAGTGCACGGCCTCGGATAGCCCAGGAATAGAACAAATTGCTCCTGGCAGCTGCTCACGAGTCCTGCTGCTGTAGTAGGACATCAGCTTGGCAAACGTGGGGACAATGTCCCCGTGGTCATGGGGAGCAGGGGCTCTAGCACCTCCAGTTGGTCTTGGCTGGTGTCTTTGATCAGAGAACCCTATTCCTCCTTTGCTTTAATCCATTAAAATAACAACAGTGTAATAAATGTAATAATTCTTAGCCTTGTGGGGGGACAAATCTCAGAAAAGGCTGTGAAATGTAATGGTTTGGTCTTCTCAGGGGCAGCTTTTGCTTTCTGTCAGGGTGTATTTGCTTGGAGCATCCAGGTTCTTGCATTTTTATGTTGGAAATGTGTCAGTGATCTCTGAGAGTATGTGCATGGAAGTGTAAAATATCTCTCCCAGATAAAATCATCCTCTGTCTCTTACTGGAACACAATTCTATGGTAGCTGAATCAGTCTTAGAGATGAGTTAAAGGCTCTAAGCCATTAATTCTTCAAATTTGTTTTTTTGATATGAGTCACTTGGAAAAAACTTTAAATAGCATATCTTGATCTTTTTTGAAATAAGTTTTCAACCAGACAATCTGCAGTATTTTCTCTTTGGTAAATTCTGAAATCTGCCCCTTTTAATTAAGCTGAGGGGTCTCTTAGGATGATTTTTGAAAACTTATCTTTCCTGCTTTTTAGGAAGAGCTGATTGATCTTCTTCCAAAATCCTGAAGCAAGTTTTTTTGCTTTTAAAATACACAGACAAATGTTGGTGCAGTTGAGGCTTTATAAAAGCTTGACATTTGACCTGACATTTACTTTGGTGTTCAGTGAAACTTGCTGTGTTCTTTGAACTGTATCTTTTGCCAGCAGAAAAGTTTGAACATCTTTGGTTTCTGGCACTGGAGAGCTAATAAACAAATCTCAGCAGTGTGCTTGCTCTTATTAAAGAGCCCCCATGGTTTCTGTGTGCATGGTTGGGTTTTGGGTCCCTGAGGTGTCTGTGAGGCTGCCCAGGGCAGTGTCCTGTGGTGATCCAGCTCTCCTGCCCTGGGAGCAATGGGAGTAGCTCTCCCTGATGCTCCTTTTGGTTTCACTTTCTTTTTAATTTTTTTCCTTTTTTGTTTACTCTGCTTACTTCCTGTACGTGTTCCAGCTTTGGAGCCTGAAAGCTCCATTAAGTCACTTGCACTTCCAGAGCCTTTTTTTTCCCTTCTTGCCTCAATGGTGCCACATGGGCAGGTTTAGCTGTTTAAAAATCAAAGGTTTATCCTGGGGTGATGAAAACTGTGGTCACCTGGCCTAAAGTTTCAATGAAGGCTTTTGACAGACCCAGCACTGAGGTCAGCTGGATTTGGTTGTGTCCCTGGAGCAAGGGAGCTTCTTCACTGCAGTGTGCAGGGCTGGGGAAGAGCCAAGGGCCAGCACAGCTCCATGAGCACCTCTGGCAGTTTGTGTGGCACAGAATGAGTTCAGTGTTCCTCAGGGATAGAAAAGCTGTTTGTGTCGTTGCCTGGTACCAGTCCCTTGAATACTGAACATTTAACACGAGGAATTCTTTCTGATTTTTCTTCTTTTAACCCAGCCACACTAAGCTAATTGGATGATGAGTGTAACGGACTCTGGGAAGTTGTCTCCCTCCCTGGGACATGTGCTGAGTGATGTTCTGCTCTGCCTTGTGGCTTCACTTATGGCTGAAAATATTTCACTCGCTCAGCAAAGTGAAAGAATTGGACTTGGCTGGTTTTTGGCATTAACCTTTGTGTCAGGCACAAAGCTGGAGGCTGCTCAGTATGCAGGCTGGATCTGAGCTGTGTGCAGCTTGGCTGCTGCTCAGCCTCTTGCTGCTGCAGGAAGGAGAGTGCAGCCCACCAAAGGCTGCTGGGGCAGAGAGCTTTGTGTGCTGTCAGGGGACACGGTGGTGGTGACAGCCACTGCTCAGGAGCAGGCAGGGTGTAATGCTAGCCAGGGCTTCACACTCCAGGGGCTGTAAATGGTGAATGATGTGGTTTTCAAAGGGAAAGTCAGTGTGTGTAAGTGTGCTTGTGTATAGAGATGTATGTGCATGCATACATGCACACCTTGACAGGAGCTGACAGGGTGTTGTGGGAAGGATCCTTCCACACTTCCCTGCTCTGTGCCCTTCTGCAGACATCACCTTCTAGTCACCAGAGGGCCAGGATGCTGGGTTGTCCAGAATGCTGGTTTACCCCAATTCAGCCTTTTTTATCATGTCAGCCCAACTAAGAAAGCTGGTAAGGAGGAGGGGACAAAGGTGGAGGAGACTGTCCCTTGGAAGGAAAAGCTCTGAGAAGGTCTCCAGTCAGGCACATGGGGCTGCCTCCTGAGAGCTGCCATTCTCTTGGAGCTGGCTTTAGACAAGGACAGCCCTCCTTGACGTGTCTTGTTTGCCTTTGCTGCCAGGTTTGAGGGGTGAGCCATGAACCTGCCTCAAAGTGCTGCTCCTTTCTCAGGTGGGAGCTTTAGCTCTGAGTGATTTCACAGGCTCTCAGATCAGGGAGGTGGAGATATTGACCTGCTGTCAGTTGTGTGTAAAGAGCCAGTGCTCCCAACAAAGTAATGAGGCCACGTGTGTGCCTTAGGCACCTGTTGGCCTGGTTAAACACAGCACAGAGCTGAGTGCCTCTGCTTTGACATTACCTATGGAGCTGGTGCTTCTGCTAGGAAGGTTTAATAATTCATTCCATATGTTTCAGTGGCAATAAATAGACTATTTCTGAAATGGAAAGCAGCTTCAGTAAAGCTTTGAAAGCTGTGCAGGGAGATTTAATAGCCCTTTTCTGCTTGCCTCTAAAGAAGATACAAGTCATGTATTGTGTGCTTGCCTTTTTCAGACGGGACATTGAAGGCTAAACTTCTTTTTCTCGGTATGAATGTTAAAAAAATCCATGGTACTCTTGTAGTTCCCAGTGTTGAAGTCCATTTCTATACAGTGAGGCAATTATGTTCTGGCTTGAATTTCAACTTATACTGCTTTCCTGGCCTGAAGCCTGTAAGACTGGGCTTTGTCCTCAGGTGTTTGGCACTTCTTTCTTTTCTTCCCTGCTGGCTGAAATGTGGGCTGAGTTGGCTTTCAACATCCATGCAGAGGTAGCTGCATTTTTTGGTGTGCTTCATGTGGAGAACCTAAACTGATGACTGACTTGTGAGTAGCTCCATGCTTAATACCCTGTGCTGCAGTTTTAGGACGCTTGTTTTTTCAAGTGCCATTGAATCAAACTTTCTGCTCCTTTTTTTGTCCCTGTTTTTAGCATTAAGCAGAGTTCCCGTTCCTCTGAGGCAGCTGAAGATGAAAAGGACCAGAGGACAGTGACAGTCAATCCCTCTCACATGAGAAAGGCTTTCAAGGTCATGAATGAATTACGGAGGTACACTTACTTTTGACTTACTGGGCACCCTCTCTGGTTTAGCAGAATTGTGCTGATTGAGAGATGTAGAAAATAGCCTGTGCCATTTTTATTACAGCTAATGGTTGCATGTGGAGGATTAATCACAAATAGGAAGCTAAAATATAGTCCTTTTGTGGTGGGCTGCTCTCCCCAGTCTCAGACCTCTGTCTTCCCAAAAACATTATCTGAGCCATGGCCTTCATTTATAGATGATAATTCATTTAGTCTTTTCCATTGCTTACAGCAAATTCAGCTGTAAACTATGTCCTTAACTGAGATAAGGGTCTGAAACCCAATAAAAGAACATTACAGACATTAAGACACCTACACATAATTACAGACCAAAGATTATTAATGTACTGTTCTTAGTCTCTTTAACTAGCAGCATCACTCAGTCTGGGCTCAGCACTCCAAAGTAAGTGGTGGAAAAAAGCAAGTACTCAGTAAGAATGTCAGCTCTCTTCTTGCAAATTGAAAAATCCTCATATTAGTTAAAAGAGAACACCTTGGTCTTTACACAGCTGTGTGGGTACAGGGAGAACAGAGGCTGGAAAAAAAATCTGTGAACACAGCCTTGAAAACTGCTGTCATCACATCAGCAAGGTGGTGGCAGTGGTTCAGCCTCAATTGTTTCTTGGTGCCTGTTATCCCACTAACAAGACAGAAGTTCAGTGAGCATTTCTCTGACTAATTCATCAGACTTTTCACCCTTCTAGTTTTAAAAAGAATTCTTATGTAAAGTGTGTGTGTCACACACATGAATGTGCGTGCTCCCTAACTGTTGAGGGGATGTGATGAAAGCAGGTAACACCCTCTGCTCTTCTGCACACTCCAAGTAATCAGAAGATGCTCTAATAGCTAACTCTCCATGGATTAAGTAGTTTCCTAATACACACTTCTCTAGTGTGGAGAAGGATTGGAAATGTTTCCTTCTACAGAGATCTGACAGCAATTCTCTGTTGCATAGGAACAAAATGGAAATATTGTAACTATTATATGAAGCAGGGTATGTTGTAATTTTTTTTTTTTTTTTTACTTTTAACTGGCATCCTTCTGGTCCTTTCTTTGTACTGAAAGCAAAGGATCTGAAGCTAAAGTTTGGTGCAGTTATATTCAGAAATCTATTGTGCTACTATTATTCCTTTGTTAATTGAAGCAGAGTGGGAATAACTGGAGACAGACAATGTTTCTTAGTGCCTGTGGTTAGGTATCTTGGGCAATACTGAACAGATAAAATAAAGAAGAATGAAAGCTGCCATTAAGCACCTGTATGATGTTTTCATCTTCTGGGTACTGTTGTTTTTTTTTTGGTTTTTTTTTTTTTTTTTTGTTGGCTCCTGTTGCTGTTGTGGAATGTACAGTTTTCACATCTCTTGAATGTGCACTGAGCCTGGGATCTGTTAAGCTCTCAGCAATCAGTAGATTAATAGATGCCTTGAATAATAGTTTCTCCCTTTGCATGCATCCAGAAAACTTATTCAGAGGGTCTAGAAAAATCATGCTAAACTTTTAACCTATATACTATATAGAATCATGAATTGTTTAGGTGGAAAAGACCTCTGAGATCACTGAGTCCAACCCTTAACCCACCACTGCCAAGGCCACCACTAAACCATGTCCCTTAGGCTTTTAGTTGGCAAATGTAGATGAAATTAATTTTATGAGTGGTGCTTTAGATTACTACAGCCCAAAATGGAATTGAGCAGAGCACCTTTTACATAAGCTAGAAGAAATGAGGAAGCTTCCATTAAGCGGCTCTTAAAGAAGTCCTCATTGCCCTTCCCCTTCTAAACTGGAAAGGATGTAGGGTACAGACTGCCAGTTCCCACTTTCTTCTGTATTCCAACCATAACCCTCCATTTCACAGCTGTTTTTTCACATATTTCAATATGTGGGGAAGAAGAGACATAGCTGATCCATTAGAAACTCTGTGTATGTTTATTTGATAATGCAGTTTCCTAAAGACAAAGTTCAGTGTGGAGATAAGTATTTCCAAAGAGAAGGCAACATCTAGATTTACAGGACTGATCCTTTTTTTGGGCTTGACATTTGAAAAGAACACCCTTAGTTTGCATTTGTATGCTTAAGCATCTTAAACCAACTTATTGGGAGGCTGAGCACTTCTTGCTGTCAGCATCTGCGAAGCTCTGTGCAAACATTAACTAATGAATCCTCAAAGGACAGACGTGGGGCGAGCAGAAAAGGTCACTCCTTAATGAAGTGACTTTTCCAAAGCTCTACAATGAGTCAGTGGGGGAGCTTACAAGGGTTTTGTTTTTGGTTTCTGTCTGGAACCCCGTTCTTTATCCCAGTGACTCTTAATCCCAGACTAATTCATGAGGTAAATGAAGTCCTCAGGCCCATGGATAAACTCCAGTGATTGATACCTCTGCTCTGGCAGATAGCTGAGGCAGCCTCTGCACCTACCAGTGCCAGGACATATTTTGGTGGCCACTTTCCTTTGTGACAAGCATGGAAGTACAGAAATCACTTCATTTTCCACTCCACCTTTTCCCCGTGGAAAGACAGAAGTGATGCTGGTGTTCCCTTGCATGGCTATTTCTTGTCTTACAGATCTGCTAGAGCCTGGCTCCAGGTAGTGCCCAAATCTTTAAGCTCTTTTGTGCCTCCTCCAAGCCCTGCTTGTTTGAGAGGTGAAGGAGCTGCTTGTCCTTTGTTCTTTGAGCAGCATGTATGCCTCATTTGGCTTCCAGGGTTTTTTTCCCCTGGGGAAAGCAGAAGCACAGGCAGGGCTGCAGCCTCAGGAGGACTCAGGCTTTTCTGTGTAGGCAAACAGTGATAGGAGTTGGTACTGAAGCATTAGAGACCCTTCCCCTGGGATTTGGCAGAAGCTCAGGTGCTGTGTCTGTAATGGTGGGTCTTTCATTCCCTTGGGGCTGTGGTGATGTAGCTTTCACCCTGACTCCTCAGGGAGCTCTGAGATGATCTTTGTGTTCTCTGGTGTTTCCCCAGCAAGCGGCTCCTGTGCGATGTGGTGATTGTGGCCGAGACCGTGGAGATGGAAGCTCACCGGGTGGTGCTGGCAGCCTGCAGCCCTTATTTCTGTGCCATGTTTACAGGTACTGCTTGTGACACCAGACAGTGTGGCTGTGTCTCTGTCAGGAGCTGCAGCACAGGCTGCAGAGGGTTTCCTTGAGGGAGAAGGGGCACAGATGAGTCTGCAGTCTGCTCTACTTGGTGGGTGATGCTGGCCACCCTTGACTAATTCCTGTGGGGTGAGTAGGTAGCATGTGGGGCACTGTGAGGTTACTGTGGAGTTTGGCTCACTGCTTTATGTGTTAGTTTTTTTTCCCCCTAACAAGACCTTGGATCATGAAAGCATTACCACTGAGCACGTGTTCAGTGCCCTAAATGTTCATGGTGCACATCAAAGAAGTTGCTGGCACAGGAGTTGTAGTTTCAAGGCTCAGTCCTGCCGATACTGATTTGGCAGTCACAGATGTTTAATCTCCCATGGCACTTTTTTCTGCTGCCTGAAATAACACTGTTGTTCTCTTGATCCCAGTGTGTTTTAGCAGCCCAGCTTTTTAACGGAGTGAGTTGCTGCAGCCAAGTGTGTTTTGGTAATGACAGAAAGGAAGAAGAGGACAAAATTCCTGCTCTGATCACCTGATCCTTGGAGCAGGTGCCCTTCAAAGGCTGTGCCCAGATGGGTCAGCAAAAAAATGCCAAAGAAAGCTAGGTCAGTCCTGGAGGAGGGGAGTGAACAGCTTATTTAAGTCATTCTAGTAAAATTGGTGTGGTCAGAAACTCCTGAGCTTCATTCCCTTCTTTGCCCTCATTTTCAGGATAGGAACTGACAAATACAAAGAAAATGATTGTACACCCCAGGGAATGGTTTTTACTGCCCCTGAGCTCCAACATAAATGAGGTTCAGGGGTTTTTTCCCTGTTTCATGTTCATTTGCTTGTGGTCTGGGCCTTGTTTCTTCCTTTAAAAGCCTTGAGATTAGACCTAGTTTAATTCATTTTGCTGGAAGCGGAATGCAGCTTGTCGTTAGTGAAGCTTTTTTCCCTTCTGTGATGGAGGTGGGGAGAAAACCTTAGGTGTGAGATGTGACACTCCCCATGGTGGCTTTATCAGTGTGGTGAGCTAAGGTGGGGAGCATTTGTGTTTTCTGGGGTGCTGAACCCTGCAGCTGGTACTGGCTGCATGGTGAGGCAGAGGAGCAAACGCTGCTCAGAAGCAGCTGTGTGTGAGGGCAACTTGTGGTGCTTGTTCCTGATGAAGAGTTTAATAAAGAAAAACCCTTGGAAAAACCCTCTGATCCTTAGAGGTCATCTGAGTGGGAAGGTGGTGGTGCAGGGCTGCTCATGTTTCCATGCAGGAATTCTCTGGGCCGTGTAATCCCTCACTGTGTGAGTTAAACAGTAATCAGCTCACCCATCATGTGGCTGCCCTGGGCTGGGTGACAGCCTGGCAGCCGCCTGTCCCCTCCCCCTGACGAGTCCCCGGGGGCAGAGGGTCAGGCAAAGAGCAGCTCTCCCTTTGCCTTCAGTCTGGCCAGCCCCGATTGCCAAGGATCCCTTGTGTGATCACAGAGTGTGTGATCTCCTTCCAGCTGCACTGGGGGTCACTCCCTGCAAGGGGATGGTTTAAAATCACACCTTCAGCACCAGCTGGGGGGTGCAACTTGGGGTTTTTGCACTGCACAGCAGTGATAGAGCCAAGGGCTCAGGTTCACCTGCACTGTGGGGGTGTTTGCAGGAGCTGCTTGTGCACACTGAATTCCCTCTGGAGGGGTCCCCCAGCAGTGAGTAGTGAGTGATCAGTGTGGAGCTGTGAGCAGTGGGAACCACACTGGGACCCACAGCTCACCCCCCTCCACCACTGCTTGCTCTGCAGGCTCTGTCACTGTCAGCTGGCCCTGGCTTTGGAGCCATGAATGACCTTGTGATGACCTTGGGGTCTTTCCTAAGCCACCTGTGTCCTCTGGTTAGCCACTCCTCTTTGAAGTATTCCTGGATGGTCTGAAGTTGGGTAGGCACATTTTCCATTTGTATCTTCCACTGCTGAAGGAGAGTTGGGACCAGCACTCCCTGAGTGTCCCTTTCCATGCTGGCTTTCTAGAGCATTTTGGATGCTGGCACTATTCTGTGGGGATGATTTGGGACAGTAAGGTCTGTCCATTTAGAAGAAAACACATTCATTTCAGAAAGGGTAACAAATACTCCAGTGACACTGCTAGGACTGCTCCTGTCAGATACCTTAGGAATTTTGGAAGTGCTGAAGGAGGAAGCAGAAACCTCCCTTGCAGGTCTTATGTGCTGCTTCAAAGCACTCACCCCATGTGTGAGAAGCTGTGGTTTTGTTATCCAGTGCACTCATATGCTCCCTCAGCACATCTGTGACTTAGGAAACAGCCAAAGCTGTGGCTTTGCCCTGGGAAATGCAATGTGTAGGAGCAGGGCAGGCTGCTGTGCTGGGTAAACACAGCACTGTGGGCTGCTGCAGCTTGGAGTGTGGTTCATTGTGTGACAAAACAGAGCTGTGCTCTCTTCTGGCCCTGATGAGCAGAGGGGAGTGGAAAGGGCACTGCTGGTGTTGAGTGTGGTGCAGGAAAGGGATGCCTCCATGAGGGGCTGGTGTCTGCTAAGTCTGTCCCCTACAGAGGTCTGCTCAGAGCCACCCTGCCTGTTTTGCCTGCCTTTGCTCCCTCTCACCTCATCCCTGGTGTCTGTTTGGCTGCAGCAGTGCAGGGATGGGGTCTGTGCAGCCTCCTGTGGGGCAGCCCTTCCACATGTGAGAGGTGCTAGTGAGTGGAATTATTCTGTAATTATGGTGTTGGGTAGGGCTGGAGTCTGACTTATGAAAGACACCCTAGGAGTTGTGTTTTGTGGGGTTTAAGGTGTGGGTTTTTCCCTGGAGAGATGTGAGATGAGATGTCCTCAATCCAGAGTCTTGCCCTGGGTCTGTGCTTGGAGGAAGGGGCAGCCTGTTGCCTGCTCCTGGTCTGCACCAGCCCCTGCCTTGGTTCCCTTGTGGTGCCTCCAGGCTCTTTCCCATCCCCAGCCCTGGAGGTTTGTCCCCCTGTGACAGTGGGAGGGGCTGGATGGCTCTGAGCTGGGTCCTGTCCAAAGGTGGGCACAGCCCACGGGACCCTCCTGGCCCTGCTGGGCTGGTCCTGCAGCAGAGCCAGAGGAGGCTGTTGGTATGCAGGGCTGGCAGCTTGCTGGTGGGTGGGGAAGCCCACACAGCTTTTATTTTTGTTGCTTGTGTCACATGGATGCCACCAGGAGAGATGATGTTATCAGATTGGTCCCTGCAGCTATTTCTGCATCGATCTCTGGGTGTGTGTGGCTGAGCCCCTCCCCACTCTGAGGCCCTGCAGGGCTGGGGGTCCCAAGTCTCCCTCCCCATGCAGGGGGGGTCACTGGGTGCTCCTCACAGGCACCTCCAGCACCACAGAGCTGATAGGGACTGCTCTGTCCTCAGAGGCACCCTTTCATCTCTGGAGATGTTTGGGGTTTTTAGGGGGAGAAAGTATGTGAAGATGACATTTTGTCAATTAAAAAGTCCTACCTGCTTTGAAGGCCTCCCAAATGTAGGCCATTTATCCCTTTGTACTGGTACATTTGTATTCATGAGCTTCTCTGAATAACATTTTATTATTCCATTTTAAAAATTGAATTTGGGGCAAATATTATTTCAGTTCTTGGTACATTGTTGACTGTTCTACCACTCATGGTCCCACCCCACTCCTATTATTCACCTCCTTATTCACATAGGGAAAGTCAGCAAAGTTCAATGAGCAGGATCCAGGTTTTGCTCAAGCTTGGGCCCTCTTTAGCATCTGACTGTGTGCTGTGCACTGACTGTGCCTGGCCACGTCCTGTGAATGCTGCACAGAGATGTAGGCTGTAATTACTTCTATAGGCTGCAGGAAATATTTTTCCACTTAATCCCACAGCAGTACTGAGTCACCGGATTTCTGAGAGTAGTGATTATTCATGCCCAGGTTTAAGAATTGACATTTCTTCGTGCTCTCCTTTGTTTAGCTTTGTTTTTCCACCTATCATTTTCTTTCCACTTGGGAGTTTGTTCTTTCTTTTCTGTGGAGATCCTGGTGATTAACTTCTGGGTGAGGTCAGCGTGTGTGGGGATGCTGGAAGGGCCTTGGGGAGTCCTTTCTCCTCCCCACTGGATGTTTTTGTTCCTCTGGCGTGCTCCTGTTGCACGGGGAGTGTGGAGGTGTGCATAAAGCTCTGGGTCATGAACAGGCTCTTACACAGCTGTGGGGCTTTGCTTTGTGTACTCAGAGAGGAAATTATTGCTCTAGTTCCATGTGCCTTGGAGTTATGAGTTTGGGGAAGGGATACAGTTTGGATCCAAAGGTGTGAGCTCGGGAAGGTGAGAGATGAGAACTGCATCTTTCAGTGTGGATGCTTTGCACAAGGTGTAAGTGATGGATAGGTTACAGCAGGGTAATTTAGGAGAGAAGCTTGCTGCATGCTGGGTGTAACTGCTGGCCTGTGTGCTTGTTTTTCTGAGCAGGTTTTAGCTTCTTTCTAAAGAAAGAGAATAACACTGCTTTGCTTTTAATGAAGGTTATACAAAAAAAATACCCTGATGTTGCTGTTGTAACATATTAATTCACATTCATTCATATTCATTCTATCCATGTGTATATATATTTAAAAACATTAATAAATCTATATAAAACTATATTTCTCAAAGGCCTTTGTAAGACACATCCACAATCTCTTGGAGTCTGTCCCTGCTCTGAGACATGATTGAAGGACATACTGGGGGTTTATTTTTAGCTCTTATATTTGTTTGAATGCAGGTGAACCATGGCAGGTTCTTTTCTGTCAAGAAATTGAGTTTCTTGCATTTATTGATTTATGTTGTTTTACACCAGTGTCCTCAATCTTGAGTCACTTTTCAGGTGGCATTAGGAGGCTTCTGGGAATCTCCCTGGTGGTTCTTCGATGGTGAGGGATAGTGCCAGTAGTCAGACAGCAGGAGAATGTGCTGGATGTGTGTGGGAAGCAAGGTCCTGCAGAGCAAACTGTAACTGTCCTTCTGAACTGAATTCCAGGAGACATGTCTGAAAGTAAGGCCAAGAAGATTGAGATCAAAGATGTGGATGGGCAGACCCTGAGGAAGCTGATTGATTACATCTACACGGCGGAGATCGAGGTCACGGAGGAGAACGTGCAGGTGGGTCTGCATCAGCAGCTCCTCTGCAGAGCCCAGTGCAACGCTTGGAACTCAAGGGCACAGGTTCTTTGGGGGTGAGGGATCTCCTCAGGCTGTGGGAAGTAAAAGGTTGAGCTTGAAAAGAGCTGCTTCCAGCCTGTGTTTAGTCTTGAGGCACTTTAGTGCTCTCCCCACGCTTAAGTCATGTTGCATTTGGCTTTTGTGTGGAGCTGTTGTAACAAGAGCAGGCGTCTGCCTTCCAAGAAGCTGTGCTGACTTGTGGGTCAGTCTGTCGAAGGTCAGAACAGACTCAGACAAGCAGTGAGTCAAATGTTTTAAGGCCATGGCAGAGGAATGTGGCTGTTAGTTTTGAAATTCTTCTAGGTAGTTTGAGTTGTTTCACAGAGCTTTGAGTGGAATACATTGTTCAAACAAGGACATTCTTCCTTTATATTTGTGTGTGTGCTCTGTCTTGAATTTCTGAGAGGTAAATATTTGTTCAGAAGTGGAAAGAGTAATTGAAAGGCAACCTCCAAATAAAGCAGGGTGCTCAGGAAGAGTGTTTTGCAGTGTCACATGGCTGTGGCTGCTGGTAAAGCTCTTTCTTTGATTCTGTTTGTATTTGTGGTAAGAAAAAGGCTCTGCACTTGGCCTCTGATGTCTGGGAGGGATGCTGAGAGCTTGTGTGTGGACATGCTGTTCAGTTGGTCTGGTTTTGTTTGCAAGTGGCAGCTTGAGCCTGTTGTCTTCCTCACTTTGACTTGGACATTGCCAGGGGAGCAAATCGGTGTCAGTGATGCTGGGGAGAGTTTTGTTGACCTAATTAACATGGCAAAATTAGACTGGTTCTGCTTGAAACGGGGTTCTTCTGTGAGCTCTTCTGCTCCAACCCCTCAGGCAGAGTGCAGGCTCTTGCTGCCCTGCCCAGGAGCTTGGACAAACCCCTGAGCTGGTCCCACTTTGCAGCACAGCCCTGCACCATCCTTCATGACCTACATCTGTGGGGGATTTTTCTTGCCCCTTCTGCCCTCTGGTTTTACAAATGTGACTGTTTGGTGTGCTCTCAGCCTGGCAGTGTCACTCTGGAAGGAGTGTGGAGCCTGGCTGCCCTGCAGTGAGAGCCCCCAGTGATGAGATCTTCAAGGTGCATTATGGCAAAGGAGCTGAGGCTCAAACCAGCTGTGGGTGGCTTGGCCTGGCTGATGCTCTGTGGCCCACATCAGGGTCATCAGGAGCTGGCACAACATCACTCACTGGGGGACTGGGGTGGAGCTCCTTGCACCTCTGGGATCTCCCATTGCAGGAGGAGCAATGACATTTTCACACCCTCAGGCTGTAAATTTCCCTGTGTCTGTGAGGAATATGGAGGCTGTATCCATGTGCTTTGTGAAAGGTTTGCTTCCCTTCCACCCTGCTGGGCCTTGGGTGCTCCAGAAGCTCCCACTTGGCATTTGGGATGTGCAGAGCTTGGGATCCCATTTGCTGAGCCTGCCTTGGATGGGGCTTGGGCAATGACCCCAGCTGCATTCCAGTTTTGGTGCTCCAGCTGCACCAGGGTGTGAGCAGTGCTGTGGGAGCTGGAACAGCTCCATCCTACCCAGAAGGTCTCTGAAAGTCCAGGTGTTGCCTTTCCTGAGCAAGTAGACAGCCATATATTTTAGTAAAGCATAACCAAAGCCTGCCTTCTGTGGCCCAGGGATTACAGGGAGTTAAAGCAGATCCCTGGCTACATTTTGACTTTCATCTCTCAGACAGTAAGTTAAAAAAATATAAGTTTTGAATACTAATTTTTTTTCCCAATCTAGTAGAGCAGGCCCTTTTACTGCAGGATTTATTTCAATGTCCACTCTGTATTAACTCTTCAGGCTAGAGGTAAATTAATTCATAGGAGCTAAGAAATGAAGCTGATCTACTGACTGCTTTAAATTTTATTACATGTTTAAAGTGTTCATGCTGAAAATGTTTTAAGGAACTTAATATAATTGTGTTATGAAACCAATAGAAATAGAAATTTGTATCCTGTCCCTGGGTGTTTTACTCTGAACAAAATGCCATAACCAGGTTAATATTCACCTTTGGCCACAAGAAGAAAAGGTTACATAAGTGAATATTCTGTCATTTATTGCAAAGTTTCACATGAAGTGAAGGCTAAAAACAACAAAAATTAAGCTCCTTGTAGTCCTTCATTTGAATTAGCAGTGCCAATATTAGAAAGAAGTGAGCAGGTTTGGTCCCTTGAATCACCACATCCTCCTGCTGCACAGCTTTGGGTCATCCCTCCATCCCTCCATCCATCCCTCCATCCATCCCTCCATCCCTCTGTCCATCCCTCCATCTGGAAGGACACCTCAGCAGTGCCTGTCTGTGCTGTTTCAGCAGTGTTTCTTTGCAGCCCTGCTTGGGCACAGTGAGAATTTCTCTTTTTCCCAGCAGGTATCTCCTGAGCTCTCCTTTTTCCTTGTCACATGTTCTGAATCTCTAGCTGGGCATGGGTGCTTTTTTAAGGGAGTTCTTCAGACTTTCTCTGTAGCTGGAAGAAGCAGTTTCTGGGTACAGGTGCCAGGTGATGTCATTGTAGAAATTATGGAAAGACAAAAAAGTTGCTCAATGGCACTGACTGAGCAGATGCAGCCAAGGTATCAAAACTTGTGAATAAATGAAAAGACACTGTCTTTGCAGTGAGAAAAATAAGATGAGAGCAGGATAGAAATGAGAAAAAGATGAACAGTAAAGGTAGCATGGAGTGCAGAATGAATGTTCCTAGGCTTGTTTGAATGCTGAGCAGTGCCCAGGCCTTCACAACAAGAAACCTTTTAACAACCTCTTTTGTTGTTTCTTTCCTAATGGAAACCTGTTATTTTGGGGTTTTTTTGCTTTTATAGGCCTGGTATGGGCTCAGGAAGTGAGACTGTCTTTCTAAGCACGTATTTCTGTAGCTATTGTGCAATGGAATGACACAGTGTCTTATATTTTGTTTTTTATGGAAGGATAGATATGTGTACCAGGGACTGTGTGGTCAGCTCCACTCATCATCCATGTAGTGAGCTCCTGGGGGTGCTCATCCAGTTCCTTCTCAAGATTATGTCCCAAATGTGCAGGCAAAGGAGATTTTCAGCTCATCCTGAGCCCATGTGGAGGGAATACTCTCTTCTAACCCTGCTGGGGTACATGGGTGAGAATTACCCCAAGAAATGCAATGTGCTTTATCTATTGGAGCCTCATTCTTGGAGTGGGATTTCAAGGTAATATAGGTGCAGCAGTAGGAGGGCTCAGGGCTGATGGATGATAGGGAAGTTTTACCTGTGAGCATGTATTTGGGATTAAACCTCCCACTTGTTTGGAAGGCATGGAGCAGAGACAGAATTTCTGTCTTTATTGCAGTCGTGTTGTAGTTTCAGGAAAATCCATCCTGGGATTTCTACACCTGCTGCCTTCTGTTGTTCCTCAGGGTTGGTTGTAAATTTTGATATGCATGATATAAAAACCTCATTCATTTGAAGATGGAGCTTGATACATTTATTTAGAAGGAAGTTGTATCATGCAGTTTCTGTAAAAGGAAGGAAAACTAAAGTGAGTGTCTCAGGGAACTTCAGAGATGCTCAGGCTCCTGGGCTGATCTCACTGGAAGTCATAAACACACATCAGAGCACAGGGTCTGCTGCTCCCTACATGAGTGGGGTAGCTGGTGCTTTTAACATATTAATTACCTGAATTCTTCAGTTAGGTCTTGATTTTGCAGCTGAAGTGGTTACATTGCTGCCTGCTCCCCAATGCTCATGTCAAACCTGCCAGCTCAGTGATGGAGAAGCTCTGCATGGTGTCCTTGAGCAGAGCTGAATGAAGAGATTTGGGAGCAGGCTCCTCCCTGTCCTAGGCAGTCCTGGGAAAACACCTGCACCTCTGGCTCTAGACAGTGAATACTTTAGTGTATTCCCTCCTTAGTGTGCCTCAACCAGCCTTACCTTTGACACCTCATTACTGGCAGGCAGCCTGAGAATTACCCTCTGATTAAGAAAGTCATTATCATTCAGGCTGTAATGATTCCCTGGAAAAAGTCCTGACTAACCTGGTTTCACAATTCAGTTGTTAGGAATGATGTGCCATGGACCATGTGTGAGGTGTTCTTGTGTACTGCCACAGTTTGAGATATGGCTCATACAGAGAACAAATCTGAAATCAGCTGTCTGGAGGAAGTAGATATTGAACCTGCCAGCTTTGCAGGCATAGTAATTGTCATAAAAAAATGTCTCAAGAAAAGAGGAAAAAAGATTTGCTAGGAGCTGCAATATTTCTGTTTAAGAAGTGCTTCTGCACCTCAGCTTTCCCTGCACACTTAGGAGTTCACAGCAAGGAAAGAGAGTTCTCTGGCAAGTGCAGTTTTGATGATAAAGGGTTTATAAATGGGTCAGTCCATCTCTCTTCCCCCTATTCAGTCCCAAAGCTGCAGCTGTAGTAGGTGCAAGCCCAGGGTGGGGCAGAGCACCTTTCAGCAATGAATCAGGGCTGCTCCTCCCTGGAGCCAAAGCTCCTTGCTGTGCATCTCCCTGGGGTGCAGGGTCCCATTGCAGGGCTGACTCCTCTGGGCTGGGGGCCCTTCCTTAAACCCATAGGAAGCCTTTAAATTGGCTCAGCCTTATAGAAATCTGAGGAGAAACTTGTGGATGTGGCACCAGAGCACTGTGTTGTGCCTGATGCATGTGTTCACTTTTTTATTTCACTGTTTAACCAAGGCATGGTGTGTCTGAAGTTGGAGAAGGTAGCTCAGGAGGGAAGTTGCCAGTTGTTCCCCTGTTTTCTCTCTCACCTCTACATCCTTTGTCCATCTCCTGCTCCTGACAAGGTTTTTTGTCTCCCTGATGCTGTCACACCTTCCCCTGTCTGGGCTATTTCACCTCAGGTGGAGCATTTAAGTGGAAGCACTGTGATCAGCCCATGTGCTGCCTGGGAGCAGCTGGGGTGTAATAAAGCCTGATTGCCACCCTTGCACTCAAAAGCCACATCATTAAGCTAATGTCATTTTATCTCCACTATTTGTGCTGTTCAGAGCAGCTTGTTTAAAACTGAGCATTTTACCTGCCTTGCAAGCACAAAATCCCTTTGTTTCTCTGGGCAGGTGCCTGGAGCTGTCTCCCTGTTTGGGCAGATGTTCAGTCCCAGCTGTGGCCCTGGATGTGCAGCTGAGGCTTACAGCCAGCACTTCTATTTGGCTTGCAATTTGATCAAATTGTCAAAGCTTCTTATAAGCTTTAATACATCCCCTGCCCAGGGGAAATGCTCCTTTCCCAGTTTTGCAGAGCAGGAATGATGTAAGTTAACTTTTGGCCAAGGCTACCTGTAAGGCTCTGTCACAGTAGGGAATTCACCCCAGCCTCTGCAGTCCAGCATTAATGAATGAACCTTATATATACAGAGCAGTTTTGGCTGAAAGGTATTTCTAGTTTAGAGACATCAAAGGTCTATGGAGGTAATTGCCCAGGCAATGTTGTGTGAAACTTGAAAGTTGTGTGGAGTCTGCAAAGCACAGCTGGTGAGCTAGATGTTATATGTGTGTATGTGTGTATATATATATATATATATATCTCTAGACACACACCCATAGATGAAGCTCTGGACATAAATTAAGCAAAGTAGTCAGTCTTAGTAGTAATAGCTGATAATTTTGACATAGTTTCAAAAAATGAGTGGGTTTTGATTTGGAGGCAGATCTGCTAGAGACTGTTGGAGTTCAAATATTAAGAGCCAAATCCAGACCCATGTGAGTGACTTGCCTGGATATTAATGGGGTTGCAGTTTGGTCCTGCTGCATGTTTAGGCAGGGCATTTCCTCTTGTTATTTCTAAAGGAAACAGACTTTGTTCTCACGGAAATCCTTTGCTTGCTTTTTGCCTTCCCTGGTAAAAACAAGATGAGTGTTGAGACGTTCAGCTGGGAAGTAAGAAAGAGAAAATCCCCTCATCTCTTGATAGGCTTTTTATATCCTATTTCTGAGAAGTGCTGTATGACAGTGGCCCTTTCCTGAAGGCTGAAGTGGTGTAAGGCCCCTCCTGCACTGCTTCTCGAGCCAGCACAGGCCATGAGAGCAGCACTGGTTTGCCCAGGGGCTGGTGCATGTGGGGGTGGCAGTGAGCCCACCTGGACTGGCAGGGATGCATCCTGGATGGAGGGGGGTGCACAGAGGGGGCTCTGGCTGGTCTGTACCCAGAGATGGCTTGCATGGACTCTGACTTGGCTACCCAAAGCCTTTATGTAGCTCAGGTGCTCAGAAATGGTTCAGCTAGAAAAAAAGTGGTTCACAGCCAGGTTTCAAAATCCTAGAGCACTGCTATCTTGACTTAATCAAAGCCACAAACTAATCTGCTCCTGGCATCAAGAGGCTTGGGCCAAAACAGGCTCCTGGGTTAATTGCCTTCTCTTTTTATTGCTGCCTGTTGGGGTGGCTGCTTGGCAGCAGTCAGCCACTTACAGCTGGGCTGGAGGGGAACACAGCAGTTGCTTAGAAAGACCTGGAGCAGGCTGTGAGTGTCCTGCCCTGGTGTGAAATGGGACTGTGGTGGCAGGGACAGGGAGGGAACATCTTTATCCTTTGCTGCCATCAGGATCCAGGGAGGTGAATGCTGTTGACCTATTTGTTTTGTTTAACAGCTGCTTATTTTTTTTGGGTTGGCAATAACTTTCCGGAAATGTGTGCTCAGATGGGAGCACAGATGCCCAGTTGGAAGGACATGTGTGAGGCAGCCAGAGCTATGAAAGAGCTGGAATAAGACACGTCTGCAGTTGCTCTTGGACACAAGAAAGGAAGTAGCTGATGTCACGAGCTGTAATGTCCTGATGGATTTTGTTTTCTACTTCCTGTCCTTCTCACTGCCCTCAAAGGTGGTTTTTTTTCCCAGTAGATGTCACATTCATCATCATCATTTCTGTCTCCTTTTTCTGTGCTTGGTTTTGGAGGTACAAAGCAGTACCTCATACTCAGATGCAGCCATGATCCACAAGTGTCCCCAGCATTTTGTGTAAGTGCAAATGAGAGCTACTGATTTGAATAGTTGGATTTGTCTTTCCCAAGGGCCTTGCTGTCACCAAACCTGCTTGAGCTTCTGGGAACCCCCTCTCTTACATGACTGCTTGGGCACCCTCCTCACAAGCCAATAAGGTTTTGTTGGAAGTAACAAAGTCCAGAGTTTTGAGGACTGCTGGGCTGCTATGGGCTTTGAATCTGGTGGCAATAAATAATACAAATCTGGCTTATAAATAATACAAAGCCCTTTGGACGAAAAAAAAAAATCTTTGTGCAGGACCTACCTGCAGCAAAGCCAGAGATTCAGGACCATCTGTGGTTGCTTCTACCTTGTCCTCACTTTGCCTTGAGGTCTTGTGAGGAGAAGCTGGGAGAAGTTGTGAGAAGAGTTCCACTTATAGCCCAGTGTAGGATAGCTGTTTTCATGTCTCAGAGCATGAACAGGGACCTTCTGCATATGGGTAGAGCTCAGACTTTAACCTTCCCTCTCATGACCCCACAGGGACGTGTCCCTGTCTGCAAGGGAATTTTCTCCGATCTGTGCAAGCTGTGAACCGCTCCTCGCTGCTCACTTTCATTCCCCTCTCGTGCCTTTGCAGGTTTTGCTGCCAGCTGCCAGTTTACTGCAACTGATGGATGTCAGGAAGAACTGCTGTGACTTCCTGCAGTCCCAGCTGCACCCCACCAACTGCCTTGGCATCCGCGCCTTCGCCGACGTGCACGCCTGCAGCGAGCTGCTGCAGCAGGCCAACGCCTACGCAGGTCAGGGGACACAGGGGAGGGGGTCTGTGAGCTCACCCTGCCCCCAGGCACGGCAGCTTGGGGCTGAGCATGGCCTGCTGGGTCCCTTCAGATTTCTGGTGTTAGAACAGGAAGGGAATGATTTGTTTAGTTCAGTGGCGCTGCAAGTTGTGAAATGTGGTTTGGTTGCGGGGGAGCACCTTAGGAGGTGAAAAAGGAGGAGTTTAGGAGGTAAAAAGGTTTGATCCTCTGGATTTCAGCTCATAAAACAGTTCCTGAGTGTGGTCCTAGCAAGCTCTTGGTGTGCCTGTTGAACAGCTCAGTGTTGGTGCTGGGACCCTGCCCTGGGAGAGCAGCAGGCACTGCTGGGCGTTTCCATTTATTCCAGGGGCATTATCCCCTGGAATGAACAGCACTGGGCAAAGTTAAATCCTGGGGTGGGAGCTGGAACACTCAGCTAACACGGCCATGCAGCCTGAGGCTCTGATCTGTGCAGCAATGGCCCCTTACCCCAAGGGAGGATAGATAGGCTCATGTTACTTTGGGAGTGGATGTGTTTGGTTGCAATAAGTAGGTGCAGGCAATGGCTTTCAGCATTTCTCCTCTACATCATAAATGTAAAGCTTTTTCAGCCAGCCCCAAGCTCTGAATTGCCCAGCACTTTCCAGTCTCCTCCAGCAGAGTTGCCCTTGACCTCTGCTTGGGAGAAGCTGATAGTTTTCTCCCAGTTTGTTTTTCTCTTTTCTGATAATTTGTATAGGGACACATACACCTGCTCTTTCCCAGAGCACCTGCTCTGTCCTGCAACATTTTCCTTTTTAATGGTTTTGTCCTTAATTGGACCATAAGTAGGCTCAGTGGAATAAAAATGTATCCACTGAGTCCTCCTCTATTCTCCTGCAAATAAAACTAAAACCTTTTCAGCTGCTCTGGCTGTATTATCCCCTGGAGAAAAAGGTACCCTGGAAGGAATGGTTAATTGTATAAAAGCTTGCTTGTAATATCTCATTATCCTTGTTTCCAGGCCCTGTTTAATCTTTAACCCAACAAGCAGTGCATTCACTGTATATTTATTTGGTTGTTTGGCAATTAGAAGGTCTGCTTTGTTGTTTTATTGGCCTTCATAGGTCCCAGTTAGTACAGCAGCCCATGTAATGTTAATGGAACTCCATTAATAAAAATGCCATTAAAATTCTTTTCACTATGTTGTTTATGTAACAGCCTTAAACCAAGACAGAAGTCCCCAAGCTCAAGAGTCCATGCATTCATGAGCTCAGTTACTTGAGAAATGCTGAGTTCTGGCCAATGGATAACTTTAGTAGGTGAAGGAGCCTTCTTGATGCAGGCAAGAGTTCCTTTATTAAAATCAGTAAATATTCTTCCTTGCTTCCAACTAATAATGAGAGATCAAATACCTTTCTGCTGCCAGATGCGAGTCCAGAATGAATGAATATCAGATTTTGCCCAGAAGTCAGAGTGCATCCAGCTTATTGTGTGGGGAGTGTTTCCTGCCTCTTAAATATTTAAGGCCTAAAGAGTTCATTGGATCATATGTATATTTCCAGTATTAAATTTTATCCACGTGCTGCTATTTTTAATCAGAGCCTTTGGCTTAGCTGTGGGGCTTTGTTTCTCAGTAGAGCAAGGAGGGTCTGTGGTTGGGGAGTCCAAGTCCAGAGTCCAACTCTGCAGCAGCAGCAGCTTTGGTGAGGGGGGCTCCAAAAATCTCCTCTCTGCAAGTTATGCCAGCTCATGTCCCTGTGGTGCTGCTTTTTGTCAGGCAAAGCACTTTGCAGATGTGAAAACTCGAGGCAGATCTTGCTGCAGAGAGAGCTTTTGGGATACAGGAGTCTGAGCTTCTCAAAGCTACAGAATTAGAACTTGAAAGAAGCTGCTTCAGATAAAGTGTCTGAGATTCATGTTTCTGTAATTCAGCCAAAGATAAATGGGGCTTAGCAAGTGACAGGTGAGATTAAATTGGCAGTATATGTAAGAAATTCTTGCAAAACTAAAATTGCTGCAGCTGGCTAATGACATATTTGACCTAGAAATTATTTTTTAGGAAGTGATTATTTTGTGTGCCTTTTGGGTAGATATAAAGCTTGACAGATTTGATGATGCTCAGTCATAATTCTTCCAGTTTGGGGTTATATTCATGCTTTTTGTTTTCAAGTGGCTCCCAGAGTTACAGTATGGAGGGATCTGGAGGCAAAAAAGGGAGAAATAGAAATTTGAACAATTGCAGGCTTAAGTGGAAAGGGGAAAACTACTGGGAAGGTGGCTGCTGTGGTGGCCAGGTTATTCACTACTGTGGACATTGGCCCTTGTCTCAATTGCCACTTCTAACTGTATTTGCCACTGGAATATTCTCAGTGGCTTTTCAGAAAGTTTAGTATCATTTATGGAAGTATTTAATGGGGCTGGTGCTGCTTGGAATAACATCAGGTTTCTTTATGCTGCTCTGGGGCTGGTTTCTGTCTGTGCTGCACTCCCAGCTGCTGTGAGTCTGTCTTGGGTGCCCAGAGCTGCTCTCTGAATGCTCCTGCCACTGACTGAAAACATGGATTTCATTATAATTTTCTGTTCCCCCTTTTCGTTTGTTGAACAGAGCAGCACTTCCCTGAGGTGATGCTAGGAGAAGAATTTCTTAGCCTTAGTCTGGACCAGGTTTGCAGTTTAATATCAAGTGACAAGCTCACAGTCTCCTCTGAAGAAAAGGTACAGTAAATTGTATAGCAAGAGTGAATGTAAGAATGCTGGAATGTTTCTAGATCTTACACCAGGAACTGTTATCATGATATGCTCCTTTGGGGCCATTCTCCAACAGAGATCATGTGGAAAGGAAAATTAAAATAATGTGAATCCTAAAAGCACATAAAAATGACCTTCACTTGGTTGTTCTTTGCAGGAAGTTATGACTCTCAGATCCATATCAAGCTAAAAGCCCTGGGGCTCAGAACCAACTACTTTCCCTCTCTGGAAAACTAGGAAACTCCCATCTGCTGTTGTGTAAAGCATTTAATACCTGCTGTAAAACCTCAAAAAAAAGTGAATTTCATTAGGCGGGGGAGGAATATTGGCTTCTCTTACATGTTGGCTAGAAAAACAAAAGGAAGCGTAGAACCAAAAGGAAGGAAGGAAATATTTTTCTATCATCTTCAGTGTTTTTAATAAAAAAGGGGAGAAAGGCACTGGTTGATGCTGTTTTTGTGGTTGAAACGTTCAGCACATCTCGTGTAGTCTGGAGTCCCGGGGAGGAGGGTGAGCAGTGTTTATGGTGCTTGGTGAACTCCAGCCCCATTCTCTGGCCTGAGCTTCTTGTGTGACCTGCTGCAGGTTTCTGGGGACAGGCACGTGCCTCCAGTCCTTCAGCTCATCTCCAAATTGTCACCGTGGAGAGATTGTAAAGTCACAGAATCAGTAAGGCTGGAAAAGACATTTGAGATCATTGAGTCCAACCACTAACACAGCACTGCCAAGTCCACCACTAAACCATGTTCCTAAATGTAAATGGTCACTTGTGAGAGTGAATTCACAGAAGAGCTGGAGGGTTGTGTGGTCAGGGCCCTTATGGATGCCTGCATTTGTGTGGGCTGAGGTGTGGTGGTGCTGCACATCCTTGTGTGTGCTCTTCTGCTGCTCAGCCCCTCTGGGCTGCAGACACACAAGTGCTTGGGCCCAGAGGGGCTGTAAAACTCTCCAGAAATCCTGCTCCATGTGAGGTGTGGCCTCAGGGGTGCTCCCTGCTGATCCTGAGCCAGCAAACCCAGAGGCTCCTGCAGGCGTGGGGCTGTGAGGTGCCCCGGGGCAGGGCCAGCAAGGGAAACAGCAAATGGCACAAACTCCCAGCAGAATCCCTCTGCCTGAGCCAAGCAGCCTGCAAAGGGAAGTGCAAGTTTAGTAACCAATTTTTTCCAGTCCTGTGCAGCATTGTTCAAAAGCTTTTATTGGCCTTGCGCCCAGGGGAATCAAAACGCTCCTTCCCTCATCTGAGCTTTACACAATCAAACCCAGTATTTCTTTAGCTGACTGTAAAAGAACTTGTAAAAGAAAAGATTGTTGAGAATGCAAGGCAGTGGAAGGAAATGTAAGCATAAGCTGCACGTTCAAAACAACAGACCTGAATAACAGGAGAGAGGCAGAAAATGGGAATGGAACATAAACATGAAATGTGCTGGACTTCAAAGAAGTGCTGGAAATTGAGGACAGATTCATAGGCTGCTGTTTCATGTTAACTTCATGACAGACAAGCAATTTTCCTCACTTTTATTCTTCCTATCTGCTAATGTTTCAGATATGTAAAATCTACATGTATGGATACCAGTCTATACACACACACTTATATCTGTGTGTATGCATGTGCAAAATATTTCAGAAACCTGGCAGCTTAATTGTCACAGCCAGATTTCACAGGGAGTTTCCTCGTTCCTGCTCTTGCTGTGTCTCATACCAGAGCACTGCCATCCCTGGATCACTGGGAAGTGTTAGAGCCAAGTCCTGCCAGGATCAGGGAGGGAGAATTGCCCTTGGAATGCCTCAGGAATTTGTGTGTTCTGCCCTTCCTCTGCCACCCCACAACTAATACCAATTGGCCTAATAAAATATATCCTTATCTTCACCAATTTTGGCTTATTTATACCCCTAGGCCATCAGGATGACAAAAATTCTCTGCTACCACAGAAATCTATTTTAATTATCAAGTGGTGACAGCATTTCCTCATCACTCCAAGATTCTTCTCCTTTCTCTTCTGTCCCCCTTGTTGTACCAGCCTCTGCAGTTACACAAGCCTTTTCAGAAAAGGGCAGAGATTTGCTGTCCCTGCTTGCTTTTTTTGCTATAGCCAATACAGTAAATAAAACTGGAAGACAGTTTTATTAATGTTTTCTGTACTGACCTAATTGGCTCTTTTTACTGTTTGCAAGCTAAAAAACCAAATAAAATAATAATTATTTGTTATTTACTAAATATGTATGAAGTGGAGGGACTTGAGAATAATCTCCTGCCAACTCAGAACAGTGGCTAAAGAAATTTTTTAGAGGGTTGGGATTTTTTGGATTGGGGATTCTATGCAGAGTCTGGTAATTGATTCATTGTCTCATGCTGCTGACATGCAGCAGAAGCTGATGCAAGGTTTGGCCCTCACTCTTGGGAGTCTCTAACAAATGGATTTTTGGCTGAAGAGACTGGGAAAACATCTGGGCTTGCACTTTCCTTAGGCAGCATGCAGAGAGGGGATATTCCAGGCTTTTACCCTTCTCCTCCATAGAGTGGGAAATTTCCTTCTCCCAAGCTCGGGAGTGCTCCTGCAGCCAGGCAGGTGCCAGCTGCTACTTCAGCCTGTGCCTCAGCTCTAATTCAAGCTGTGTGGGCAACTGCTTTGCCCATCCCAGCCTGGCAGCAGCTCCTGCATGGCTGGAGGGTCCCGGGGGAGCGGCAGCAGCTGCTCGGGCACGGCAGGACTGGAAACAGATGTGGCCTTTAAATAGAGATATTGCTGTCTTGGATTAAAGCCTTTTCCCCTTCTCTGAAATTAGGAATCAGAGCAAATGGATGGTGCCAGAATCTGATTTAAAAAAAAAAAAAAAAGTTATTTTTAGAGTAGGCACAGCAGGGAAGCATCAGTGCTTGCCTGACTCAGGAGTGGACGCCAGCGCCGAGGAAGCAGCTTATTCCTAGTGCACATTGCTAGTGCACACTTGCCTTACCTTCCTTTAGACTTGCTCACTGTCCTCCTGACCCGTAGCTGGGTATGTCCCAACCCTGTAACCCATTCTGCAGCTCAGCCTTTGTGCAGAAGAGGTTAATGAAAAGCCTGTTTGTCAGCTAAACATTTGCTTTATCCTCCTTCCACATTCATTTGCAATTAAAAAAAATCTCACAACAACCCAGTTTCTACTCTAAAGGCCTCATAACCAAAGTTAAAATGTTTGTTTGCTTATTTATTTTAATTTTAAAATACTTAAAGGCTCTGCAGTAGTTATTCTCCTCAGCATTTGCTGTGGTTTGATTACACCACTCCCTGTTGGGTTGCTTAAATCCTCATTGCAGTGTCCTGAATTCCAAACAGTTCAGCAGGAACTTTGTTGGCACAGGAAATGAGGCTGGTGCTTTACTGCATTTTAAAAGTATATAGTTTAGCCCAAGAGGAAGAAACCCCTTTCTGCTCTGCATCTCCTTCATGGCAGGATGTGTCTGCCAAGGCCTCCTGCAAGTACATTTACCAGCAACAACTGGGGACTGAAAGATGGTGCCCTCATTTTTGGTTGATTTTGTCAAATTAGTGACCTTGGACCAAACAAAATGGTCTCTTGGGGAGTGATGGGCAGGATGGAAAGAAAGAAATAATTATCTGTGCAAATTGGCCTGACCATTTGGTGACCCTGGAAGGAAGCTGAAACCAAGGGTGCTTGCCTGGCATGCTGGAGGGAAGGGCCAGGGAAGCCTTTGGGGCAAGCATGGGACAGATGGGGTCTCTGCTCAGCCCCCCTGAGTAACTGGGCAGTGAGAGAGCTTGGGCAGAGTTGCCTGTAGATGTGGCTTATGTGTCAGAATTTAATTCTATCTCTGTGGGGAAGCTCCACTGCAGTGATCCAGATCCTGCTGTGCAGCATCCGAGACTGCATCAGCCGCTCTTCCTGCCTTGCTGGCTGTTTCAGGAAGCCTTTCCCACTGCTGGTGACATTTTTAGGCCTTTCTTTTGTGAGTGAGGCTCCCAGTTACATAAGCACATGCATATTCATCCAGGAGCCCACATAGGAGGCTTCTCCTGAGCCAGGGCTCTGCCCATGGGGCTGTTTGTGAGCACTTTGTCACGGGCTCCAGCTCTGGATGCTTATCTCAACCAGCTGGATCTGGAAGTAAAACTAGATTTTGGTTCAGACCAGAAGCCCAGTGTGCCCTTGTTCCCCAGCTGGAGTGTCTGAGTATTTTTAGCAGGGAAATGCAGACAGTGCAGAGGCTCCATGGCTGCAGGCAGGGCTTGCCCTGTGTGTGTGGGGAACTTGTCCTCAAGACTTTTTGGTTTCTGGGGGCTGGTGGAAATGGTGCAGTGATTAAATATGAGTGTAGTGACTTTACTGTGTGGCCAGGCTCCTGGAGGAGGGAGATCTCTGTTATCAGGAGTAATTGTTGTGGCTGATTTCATGAATAACGTCCAGTGCAAATGTCAGCAGGCTCATTAAGTTTCCTGGCTGCCTTCCAGTGCTCATGTCCAAGAGGTATATGATTGTTCTGGACATGCACTTAGCTCTGGGAGTGATACAGCACATCTAGATGTGAGGCTGCTTGTTAACATGCATGGTCAGCTCAGCTCTTTGCTACAGTGCTGCTTGTGCTCTGTGCAGCCACAGCTTTTTCATCTGTTTCATAGAGATCTTGCCCCCCCTTGCTCTGATGCTCTAAAATCACTATGCTGCTGATTTTGGGTGGGTGACTCTGCAAGGAAGTTGTCTCTTCCCCATTTAATTGTGCTTTATCTGTGTAGGTCTTTGAAGCAGTTATCTCTTGGATCAATTATGAGAAGGAATCTCGCTTGGAGCACATGGCTAAGCTGATGGAGCACGTTCGCCTGCCCCTTTTGCCCAGGGATTACCTGGTACAGGTCAGTCTGCAGAGAAGCCATCAATGCTTGCACTTCAGCTGCTGGCTGCTCCCTAATCAGTGGCTGGGCTGTTTGTGTCTGAGATGGGTAATTTGGTCTGTTGCTGAGTCTGTAAACAGAAGAATAAAAGCAAAAAAATGAGTGGATTCTGAAATCAATGTGTGCTTCAAAAACCTTCTTGAAAATGCTCTGCCAGGCAATGCTCAGGGCAGAGCTGCTCTCCCTCTAGGGGAAACATTGATAAGTGAATATCTTGTGATTTTTCACCCTGAAAATACTGAAGTGGTGGTGTTACAAGCTCGTGCAGCTTTTTTTCTGTCATGCACAGGCAAAATATCATAATGGAAACACATAATGTGTGATAATTTTGGTTTAAGACGTGTGCTGTGCATGCATATGGGTCTGTGTGGCTGGCAGGGGAGGCACTCTGACTCAGTCTGACTTGGAGATTGCTCTTCATAAATGAATTCCTGGCATCTGGGCCTACATAATGAGCTGAGAATTCCCAAAGAAGGGGTTGGCATTTGGGCTCTTTGACTACGATGCTTTTATCATATGTCTAAAAAAAAAAATCAATACAATTGGTATAAAGTAAAATTGGTATTCACAAGATGAACCCATCATGGTTTTGCTTTTCTTTCACTTGTATCTTCTAATGGAATAAAAGGTACTGCCTCTCCTTAAAAATTCTAAGTCAGATAAAAGAAATCACTTTGTATCCAGACTCCTGGTGAGTCAAGTGCATCAAGTGTTTGGCAGAGGGTGATAAAATACTCACTTCTTGTGAATGATCTTGGGAAAAAGTGAGAAACTTGGATGTTACTGCATGTGCTTCTTTGGGAGGAGCTGGAAATCTGTTTGTCTCCTGCATTTTTTTTAATGTTGGTGCATTTGAAGGGAAATTCCAGGTTACATGTTCTTTCCATGAAGCTCCTTGTGACCTGTGCCAGTGTAAATGATCTTTGTTGTGTGTGCATGTTCTCAGACAGTCGAAGAAGAAGCTTTAATCAAGAATAACAACACCTGTAAAGACTTCCTTATTGAAGCCATGAAATATCATTTGCTTCCTCTGGATCAAAGGCAACTAATAAAGAATCCCAGGACAAAGCCAAGGACCCCCGTTAGCTTGCCAAAGGTAAGCTGAGCTTCGTGTCACCTCACCCCTGTTCCTGGGGGCATTTTCAGTCCTTTGACAGGAGATCCAGAACTTGCTGTGTTACTCTTTACTCACTCAGTGGTTGTGCTTGGAAGTGTTTTACTCCCTCTTCTGGCATTGCCTGTGCCCAGCAAGGAGACATAATTAAGTTGAATAAGCTTAGATAAGCCCTTAGGGGAAGGAGTATCTCTGCTCTTGAAGGGTTTTGTCAGCCACAAGTGGCTGGTGGCTGGCTGGGCTGTGGAGTGGCTGCTGGAGTGCTGGGAGGGCTGCCTGAGGTGCTGCTGCCTGGTGAGAGTGTGTGGAGCCCTGTTGAGGAGGTCACAGTGGGTGTCTCTTCCTTTCCTGTATCCATAATCAGAAGCCAGGAAAGCAGGAAACAGCACCCAGCCCCGTGGGCAGGAAGTCTGAAGTGAATTTCAATGGACTCCAAGCAGCAACTGAATAAATAATCCTTGTTACTCCCCACGTTTATCCTGCAGGCGTGGGATGCTCCAGCCACCACTTTATTAGTGAAGAAAATAACAACCACAGGAGCTTTTCTCTGTGCCCCAGAGATAAACACAGTGTGGCACAGTCTGTCAGCAGACTGCCACTGAAGGTGCTAGTAAGCATTTGGAGATCCCAGGACATCAAAAGCACAATGTGTTATTTTTCCAAGCACAAACAATAATGAGGTTGCTTTGTAGGATGGTCTATGAGATCTGTGCTGTTTCTGATATTTGGATACTGGACTGTGCTTTGAGGAGTCGTGGTTCTGCAGCACGTGGCAGTGTGTGTCAGTGTCCTTTCTGCCTGCTGTGGCTGAGATGAAGTTGGTAGAGCACAGCTTTGGGGCCATGAAGGGCTGACATGGCCCTTGTTCAGGACTAAAGTAGTTAAGGATAAAAGGAACAGCAAATCAGTGAGTTCAGGGGTTCTCAACATCTTTTATAGCATGACCTCTGAGTACAAACCCAAATCCTTCTGCAGGTCTCTCCTCCCTTCTTTTGAACTGTGAAGAAAGGGAAGGAGGTGATGATCTTTCAGCAATCCTGTTACTGAGAAACTTTCATCTGGCCTGTTGGTCCTGCTGATGAGGGATTATTGTCTGCTGTGAAATCCCTTAATTCCGTAATCGCGTGGAGCCCTGCGGCTCCATGGGAGACTGTTACACAACTAGTAGTCAGGCTGTTCATTTAGACTTAATTTGGTTTCCAATATCATGTTCTCATCTTTGAAGATCAAACAGGCCACTGTTTCCATGCTCTTCAAATTCTTTAAATTGCTGTCCAGCTCTTTACTTTTAAAGCAACCTTGCTTGGAGTTGAGTTTGTTATCTGAGTGACCCCAAATGATGATCTTATCCCCTCAGCCACTCCCAGCTGCCTTGCAGAGGCTAAAGCCAGTTTCCCAACCACTCTTTATCAATATTTGAATCCCCATTATCTTGTTTCTAGCTCCTTGGTCGTGTAAAAATCAGATTGTCTTGGGTGATGTTTGATTTGCTGTGGTTAGGGGAGCCAATCCTCCCTCTTGATGGCTGTGGAGGGTTGAATGAAATGTGTGCTGAACCAAGTGCAGGTCCAGCTGCTTGCCAGTGCAGGAGTTTTGGGGGCTGGCTGCCAGTGCAGGTGTTGGTTTGCAGTGCCTAGCTGGGGCTCAGAGCCATGGGCACCCTCGAGTGCAGAGCTGCAGGCTCCTGGCATCTGTGTCCATGGGGAATTTGTCTTCTGGCAGCAGACAGGGCAGATTTGGGAAGGAACACACTGTATGCTGCCCAGATCTTCTGCTCTTCTCACTTTCCCACCAGTGTCCACCCCTTGCTGTCGCTGGTAGTGGAGCCTGGGGCTGGATGAACCCTTAGCCTGACCCAGCAGGGTGGTTCTTCCACTCCTGAGGCTGCCCTTGACCACCTTGACATAGCCCTTCCCTACCTGTGAGGAATTCAGGGTTTAATTCCTGCATTTCCTGCAGTACCTGTGGCAGCCAAAAGCCTTAATGAGGCTGACAAATCACATCCTTCAGCAGCCCAGACCCCCCAGGTCGTGACAGTTCTGGTGATTTCCCTGAGTGTCGCCTGCCCCGCAGGTGGCACCGCAGCTGTCACGTTTTATTTGCTGAGTGGCATTGATTATTTTTAGCACCACCATGGAGATAATGACTAAACAGTGGGCTGCCAGTGGAAATTATGCTGGAATCTTCTTCACTTAAAAATACTTTTGCAGTGAGTCTTGGGTATGCTGTGGTGCCAAAAGGTTTTGTATTTCAAGGGGAAATTGGGCAAGTTGCCCACCTTGGACACAGCGAGGAAGGGTAAATGGGGTGGCATTTAGCATGCATTAAATTGGAGAGAAATTTAGCATGCATTCAATTGGAGAGAAATTTTTCCCTCTTGAAATATAATTGCCTGAAATAAGTGTCCCTGCAGAGGCTTCTAGCTGACCTTCAGCACGTTTTGGCAGCTGCTCTTGATCGGGTTGTGGTGATGGTTTCTCTGCAGAGAGCAGCTGCCCAGGGTCATGCCTGAGGTTTTCTAGCTCTCCTCTTCCCTCTGCAGGTGATGATTGTGGTGGGTGGGCAAGCACCCAAAGCCATTCGCAGTGTGGAGTGCTATGACTTTGAGGAGGAGCGGTGGGATCAGGTTGCTGAGCTTCCCTCACGGAGATGCAGAGCAGGTAAAGGGAACTTTTGCTGCAACCTTCTTTGTTTCCCTTATGCAGCTCTTCAGCACTGGATGGATGTCCTTAGTCCTCCCTCTAGCTTCCTCTGTGCCCCTGGCCTCAGGCAGGTCTTTTTTTTTGCCATGCCTTCTTCTTCCTTCCCTACAGACATCTTTCCCTTCTTGTTCAGGTGGATGTCCTGCTCTCTAGTGGGGCTGCTCCTGCCTGTCAGCCCTCCCACTGTCTCCCCTTCGTCATCTCTCTCTCCTGGCTGTTCCTCCATCAGTGTTTCCTCTCCTCCTCCCCCGTTGCTGTCTTGGCAGCCCACAGGGGTCCAGTTTTTCTTGCTGGTTTCCTAGTGAAAATCAAAGGAGCTGAGTCAGTCCCTCTTGGTGCGGAGGAGTGGGTGATGGAGAGCAGATCTTTAAGCTGAAAACATCTGACAGGGTTGTGAATGTGGCTCACCATTTGGTGTTCCCTCTGGCTCACAGAATTACTCACTCAGGTGTGAGCTCCATCTGTGCCTTATGCTGCCATGTTTTCATGTGCATTTCACCTCCCATACGACACACACGTTTTATCACGCTCGGCGTTAACCGGCAGAAAACGCCGATTGACATCAACCCGCGTTCCGCTCTCCCCAGCCGCCTTTCACACCCTGGCGGGCCAGCAGCAGCAGCTGGGCAGCTCCAGAGAGCTTGCTGTGAACCCCTCTCCCCTTTTCAGGCGTGGTGTTCATGGCTGGCAGCGTCTACGCCGTGGGCGGCTTCAATGGCTCGCTGCGGGTGCGCACGGTGGACGTGTACGACGGCGCCAAGGACCAGTGGACGTCCATCGCCAGCATGCAGGAGCGGCGCAGCACGCTGGGGGCCGCCGTGCTCAACGACCTCCTCTACGCCGTGGGAGGCTTTGATGGCAGCACTGGTAGGTGCTGGGCAAGCACCAGGCACTGCCTGACCTGGCAAAAGGGCTTCTGGGGGCCCTGCAGGGATTGCAGAGCTTTGGAGCAGTTCTTGTGCCCTTCCCCTGGGGTTCTGTAGACAGGGAGCCAGAGATGGGGTTTGGTGTGTGTTGTAACTATCCATGTGCACGTTCTGACCTGCCAGTAATTGCAGAGAATCTCACCCTAATTGCTTTCTTTCTCACCCTTATTATTTTCTTTTCCTTATTGTTTTCTTTATTTCTCTGCAATAAATCAAAATTATTTTATTGCAGAGAATCTCACCCTTTATTATTTTCTTTCTTCTTATTATTTTTAGAACTGTGATACGGTTCTTTCAGCCTCATTCTCTGTATGATTATGCTTTTTCCGGGCTGAAAAGGGATTTTTTTCCTTGTTTCTGTTAAATTTTTCATAGCAACATGAATAAAATACTAGTAAGGAATCTTACAGGGATTTGTCTTGGCATGGCTGTGTGTTTAGATTCACACCTCTGCCTCTGCTGTAAAGCTCTGCCACTTGGTTAAGCCCTGAACTAACTATTGCAGCAGGGTCTGGGGGAATTTTTAAACCTTTGCATGGATGTTCTGGAATGCTTGAAAGGATGTGGGGCTTTTGGGCTTGAAATTTGGACTCTGCTCACCTTGGTGGCCTCAGCACATGGGAGAGGCAGCAGTCCCAGGGCAGGGGTGATGGGGTAACAGTTTTGCCAGCCACTGAAGAAGTGGCATTGACATGCTGGTCCCAGCCTGAAAGGCCAGGGGTTAGGAAGTGGGATTGCAGGAGCATGGTGGGAATTACGGGCTTGGGAGGAGGTGGAAGGCAGATGAAAGTGCAACACCAATCTTTTTTTCTTCTCTTTTTTTTTAATTAGAAAACCTGTGTATCCCCTTTTTAACTAGGTCTGGCATCAGTTGAGGCCTATAGCTATAAAACCAATGAGTGGTTTTTTGTGGCTCCCATGAACACAAGAAGAAGCAGTGTTGGAGTTGGAGTTGTGGAGGGTAAGAAAATGAGCAGCCATTTCCATCAAGCAAATGTTACTTGTCAAACAGAAGCCTGAATGGTTAAGTGCAGTAGGAGGGAATGGCAAGAACTGTTCCCTATACCAGTTGGGAAAGTTTGATTTTACATGATGTAATTGCTGCAACTTTTTCCATTCTCCTCTTTATCTTGGTGAAAAATCATGTGTAGCTTTCCAAGAGCCTCAGACGTGTATCAGACTAGCCCATGCCTCCTGTGAATGCAATCAGGTGTGTGCAGGTTTCTTTGAATCCTAATTCTGCTGGGCTGGTTCTGGCTGGTGAGAGCCAGCGCTGCTGTGCAGTGGCTGCTGCTGGCAGACACTGCGTGGATGGAATACCCATCATGGAAAATCTGCTCAGCCAGAGAAACAGGAACAGAGTTTGTCCCACAGCCCCAGGCTGGTGGTTTGGCAGGAATACTAAAACCTGTGTTTATTGACATCAGGCAGAGCTCTGCTGAGGCTCCTGAAGGAGCAGAGGCTGAGGATAGCAAAGGCTGTGGCAGCTCAGAGCGAGCTGGGAGGCTGGGCAGGAGGGTGGCAGCTGCTGGCACCTCTGGGTCAGCACCAAACTTGAGGGAGCTGGAACTGAGCAGCTTGGTTTGGACTCAGGAGAATGAAAAGTTTAAGTAGGAACCATTTATTCCTTTACAAAATCTATTCTGGAGCAAGTGAAAGGCTTTATTTGAACTTGTCTTTAGTGTGGCATAGCACTTTCCTGTTAGTGCAGTGCAGAGCAGCTTTGGCACAAGCCTTGTTATAAACCATATAAACCATGATTTACAGTGCTTTGGTTGGACCTGTTTGAGTGGGAAGTACATGGAATATGTTAGTGTACATGAAATCTGTTTATGTGAGAAGAACAAGGGAGATACATTCAGAATAAATTGTAGTCATTAACTTATATTTGCATATTTAAGAAGCACCTTCTTCAAAATTGGCCCATGCTTGGGAAGTGCTGGGCTTCTATCAGTCATTGGAATTTATTCAAGTGGCTTGAATGCAGAAAAAGTATTAAATATGGACCTGAGAGATGCATTTCTATGGACAGATTTTCTACTGGAGACTCATGAAATCCTTTTCCTTTTCTTTTTTTTGAAAACACAAGTAAGTGTTGAATATTTTGGAGTCCATGATAAAAATAATAAGGGCGTATGATGGGCACAAGAGCTGATCACACTGGTGTAGGGAACAAGCTGCAGCCTGCAGTTAATCCACAGGGTTCATCTGAATGTGTCAAAAATTGATCTGATGATCAATTATATAATGAAAATACCTAATAATCTATGTCAGCCAGGGAAATTGATCTTATCTTGCCTAGATTGACACTCTTGCCTGATTCACTGACGAATACCAGGCAGGACCAACTGCACAAGTAAGAATTTGAAATGTTCTTAGAGACAGGAAGATGCAGAAAGAGCCCATGAGTGGGCCTGAGGGAGAAAGAAAATGAGATAATATTGTTTTCATTTTTCTCTGAGACTTCTCAGCTTCCCAGGAGAAGAAATCCTGGTGAAGGGATTTTTCAGAAAATATGACAGTGACAGGCTTAGGTGTGTCCCCTAAAGCCACCTGAGGCAGGGCCTGTCCTGGGCTGTGCCTGTGGGTGAGCCTGGCTGTGTAAGAGCCTGAATGAGAGATGTGGGACTCCAGGCAGCTCTTCCAAATGCAGTTTATTCCATCCAAGAGGTTACAGCAGTCCAGGGTCGTGGGCGACAGAGCCTGTGCCTACAGCTGTCAGCTCCAGCTGCAGGCAGGCCTGGAGCTGGTTTTGGTTACCTTGCATTATATACTTTTCTTTCCTGAGCATCTTAATACAGTAGAACCAATCTATACCTTAACTTTTATCTATAGCCTACCATAACTGCTATAATTACCATATTTATGTTACTGTTCTCCAATCACTAAAAGCTAGTATGTCACAGTGTAGGCCAGAAGTTGTTTTTCAGTTTTCTTGCAGTGGAAAATTCTGAGACCCTTTTTCTACTTGCAACATTTGCTCGCTTGTTTGCCTGTGCTATCTTTCTGCTTGGTGAAAACATCTTCTTGTTTATCCTTTGCTCTATATGGGTTTATCCTTTGCTTTAAGTCACAGAGGTGGGTTTACCCTTTGCTTTAAGTCATAGAGGTGGGTTTACTCTTTGCTCTAAGTCATAGAGGTGCGTTTGTCCTTTGCTTTAAGTCATAGAGGTGGGTTTACCTTTTGCTCTAAGTCATAGAGATGGGTTTACCCTTTGCTCTAAGTCATAGAGGTGGGTTTATCCTTTGCTTTAAGTCATAGAGATGGGTTTACCCTTTGCTCTAAGTCATAGAGATGGGTTTATCCTTTGCTCTAAGTCATAGAGGTGGGTTTGTCCTTTGTTCTAAGTCATAGAGGTGGGTTTGTCCTTTGTTCTAAGTCATAGAGGTGGGTTTGTCCTTTGCTCTAAGTCATAGAGATGGGTTTACCCTTTGCTTTAAGTCACAGAGATGGGTTTACTCTTTGCTTTAAGTCATAGAGGTGGGTTTATCCTTTGCTTTAAGTCATAGAGATGGGTTTACCCTTTGCTTTAAGTCATAGAGGTGGGTTTATCCTTTGCTTTAAGTCATAGAGGTGGGTTTACCCTTTGCTTTAAGTCATAGAGATGGGTTTATCCTTTGCTTTAAGTCATAGAGGTGGGTTTATCCTTTGCTCTAAGCCATAAAAACCCCCTTCTAACTAACACACCCTTTGCCTCCTTGATTATCCAGTAAGACCGGCTCAGCAATTCTTTTCTTCTATATCAAAACCTGCTTCCATCTCTATTCCTCCTTGAGACTCTGCATTCAAAAACCTTTCTGCTAGGCATATCTGTGGGACTTTGTTGCCACACTGCCACCCTTCCCAGCGCGGGGAGCTGTCACCCTTGCCGTGTGTTGCAGGGAAGCTGTACGCGGTGGGCGGCTACGACGGCGCGTCGCGGCAGTGCCTGAGCACGGTGGAGCAGTACAACCCCGCCACCAACGAGTGGACCTACGTGGCCGACATGAGCACGCGGCGCAGCGGGGCAGGTACTGCTCAGCACGGGCACCACCGCGGGCTTTGCAGGCAGCCCCGGCACGGGACGAGATGAGAATCTTCACTCTGTGTTTCAGGAGGCTGATTTATTGTTTTACGATGTATATGTTATATTGAAAGAAAATGATACAGTAAAGCAACGCTAAAAGAGTAGAAGAAAGGATTTCATCAGAAAGGAATGATGATAAAATCTTGTGGCTGACCAGAGAGTCTGAGAGCTGGACTGTGAATGGCCAATAATTAAAAGCAACCACATGAGAGACCAATCAAAGATGCACCTGTTGCATTCCACAGCAGCAGATAGTTATTGTTTGCATTTTGTTTCTGAGGCCTCTCAGGAGAAAAGATCCTAGCAAAAGGATTTTTCATAAAATATGTCTGTGACACACCACCTGCTCTGCTCACACACAGGGAGCAAAAGTGGGATTTGCCATTGCTGAGCTTGCAAGTGCAGCCTCTTGTGTGCCTTGCTTCCCGTGAGGGGTGAAAATGGAATGGCTTGGAATCTCTTAGCAGCTCCTGTGGCTTGTTGTATTGCCCTAAATAGTTATTTAGTTGTTTGCACTGGGTGTTTTGGTAATTTGCACTGTGCACATGATTTGTATCCTGTGACCTTGTGGTCTTCCCCTTTTTCCCCTCTCATCTGCACATTGTGTAGGATAATAAAATTAATCTCAGGTTTTCCCTTAGCTAGTTTTTAGTTGATTTCTTGCAAGAGTTGGTGATCTGGAGGATTAGAGTAAAGGACCTGTTGTAAAATGATTGGATTCTAGTCTTGATGGTTTCTAATTCGCTACATGCACTTGGGCCAGGTAGTAATTTGTCTTCTCTGAAAGGGAGCAGAGCTCTCATCCACTGCATTTAAAATCATCTTCAGGTGAATGGGAATTTGTCCTGTTGTTCTTAATGCTCAGTGTGTGCCGTGGGTCCTCCCTGCTATTAAATTGTGCAGGAACCCACAGGCAAGCCTGGGGGCTGCTCTTTGGGGCTGCAATGACCCTGCAGGTTAAGCTGTGGTGGGAGTTCCCTTTTGAGCTGGGCAGGTTGAGGCTGCTCTCTACACCCTGTCTCTCTCTCCTCACTCCAGTATCTTTTCTGTAGCTCCAGGTGAGGTAAATATGGACACACTGTTGGTTTGAGTTCTGTGGGAGAGGTTTGTGGTATCTGCTTGATGCTTAAGCCTAGTCCAGTGCAGCCTTCCAGGAGAGCAGAATGAGTATCTCCTATTGTTGGCACTGTGTTAAAACAGCAAGAATTTTGTGGCTGTCGTGAAATGGATTTTATTGAGTTGTCTTTGTTGGAAACACTCTGAGTGCTGCTTTACAAGTGTTTCTCCATGTAGCAAGTCCTTTGTTAGGAATGCTCATACTGCCCTGCCAAACTTTGCAGTTTTCTGTTCCCACCTGTCAGCTGAGCTCCTCAGGCTCTGGTTGTCCCCTCCAGCAGGGTTGGAGGGGACTGCCCGGTGTCACTGGCCACCAGCAGTGCTGCAGCACAGTCTGCTGTGCAGCTCCAGCAATGACACCGTGCTCTGCACTGCTGTCCCTGTGCTGACATCTAGTGGGGCTGAGGACAGGTGGCCCCAAGTCCCTGGAGGCACTGGGGCTGTGGGCATGTGCAGGTGCTGCCCAGGTTTTGTAGAATCATACATTTTTTTAGATTGGAAATGACCTTTAAGATCATCAGGTCCCACGATTAACCCAGCACTGCTAAACCATGTCTGCAGGTGCCACATCTGCACATTTGTTGAACACTCCCTGGGTTTGCTGGACCAGCTGTGTGGTTCACTTCCCCTGTCCCTGCATGCCCTGTCTCACTGCACAAGGAGGCAGTTTCATGTGAAAAAGCTTGAGCATTTCTGACTAGTTTACTCTCTTGCTTGCTAAATTATTTCTTACAAGTATAAAATTTCCACTAACAGCTGAATATAATCAAATGCCAAGGTGCTGCACAGCCAGGCTGCTGGGCTCAGGTGCAGTTAAGTGATTTTCCATTTCTCAGTGACCATTTCTCAGACACCTGCTCCAGCTCAGGAGCCAGGACAAACATGTGTGGAAGTGTTCTGCTCTTCCCAAGTCCTGCATGTTGGAGTACTTCAACCACACCAAGGATGTGGTCCAGTAAGGTGGATATTTATGGCAGTTAGAGATTAATTGTATGTTTGCCAGAGGTGAACCATGAATCCCAATGTCATATTAGGATTTCAGCACTTGGTGCAGTGAAAGATGGCTGGCCAAAACCAAAGCCAGCAGTAGTAAGCTAGGATAATTTGGAGAGGGGAGAGGTGACAGTGGTGGATCTATGTACCTGTCCCCAGAAGGGGATGCTCCTGATGGAGCTGCAGAGCCTCAGTGGTGCCTGTTCTCTGGCTCAGCAGCTCTTCCTGCCCTCTCCTTTCCTGACCAGGAGAGATCCTTGCACAGGGACCAAGTCAAAAACCTGTTGCTATCAGCCTGGCAGGGCCCCTCTCCTCCCTGCTCATGGTTGAAATGATGTGATTCAGATCTGTTTCTGTTTTACTAACATCCCACCTTGTTAATTTTAATAGAGGCCTTTGAACCTATTAAAGAAGATATGTTGCTGGAAGTTTTAACTCTCACGGATTGGTGAACGTTTTAATTAACTAATTTACTTAATATTAGGCAGAAGTAGCTTTGAGATCCCTGTCATTCCTTCAAAAATGGGGGCCTTCAAAAATGGCTGAGAAGGTGGCATTGGAGGCACCTTGTCTGTGCCAAGTGTTGCCAGGTTTTGGGGTGGGAGTGGGAGGAGAGGAGTCAAGTGGCAGCTTCAAGAGCTGTAAGTTGTTGAGGAGAGGAACATCATCCAAGGCATGAAGTCATGTGGCACAATGGCAGCAGGAAAAACAAAAGTAAAAGTCCTGAAAGGGGAATCAGGATGAAAGCAGAGGGTCCCATGGCAGAAAATATCAGGCAGATGGAAACAAGGTGGGGTGGGAGGCAGAGAGCAAGTGAGTACAGAGAGATGGAATAAAGGCAGAGGAGTATCATGGGACTAGACTGCTGGTCTTGGATTGCCTGAAGCTTCCTAAGAGGGGACATCTGCCAGGCATTACTGTGCAAGTTGCTGTAGCGCCAAGGGGTGGGCGGGGGCAGAGCTGATCTTGATGCACATGTGGCCCATGTTTTTGGAAATGCCATGCCCAGTAGCAGAAGCAGGGATGTGCAGCCCTGTCCCTGTGCTGTGGCTGACCTGGCTGTGCTTGGCAGGTGTTGGGGTGCTCAGTGGGCTGCTCTACGCCACTGGGGGCCATGACGGGCCCTTGGTGAGGAAGAGTGTGGAAGTCTACGACCCAGGGACAAACACCTGGAAGCAAGTAGCAGACATGAATATGTGCAGAAGAAATGCAGGTAACCATGATAAGCCTTTCTGTGGTGGTTGGCTCAGTTGTCTGTGTGTGGTTTTTAATGCAGTTGGTGTGCTCATGGTGAATGTGATCAGTGTTGTAGAAGATAAAAATGGGAGTTGAGGGATCTGCTTGGGGGTGAATTGGAATGTGGCAGCAGCGTGCTGTGGGGGCTGAGTTGGCTCATGTCTCACCATCTGTGCTCTCCTTTGAGGGGTGTGTGCTGTGAATGGTCTCCTCTACGTGGTGGGAGGTGATGATGGTTCCTGCAACTTGGCCTCGGTGGAGTACTACAACCCCAGCACAGACAAGTGGACGTTGTTGCCAACCAGCATGAGCACAGGGAGGAGTTATGCAGGTAAACAGGCATTGGGAGAGTGGCCAGCAGTGGCATCAACTATAAACTTGAGGGCTGTGCCCCCTGAGGCTTTAATTGTACTTTTTTTGTATGTTTTACGTTGATTTCAGTAGAAGGAACTTTCACAGAAGTGGTAGACACCTCCGTCGTTGCTGGCCTTTGGCTTTGCAGGATGATTGTAGCAACCCAGGAGCTGCTCCCACCATAACTGTGTCTGTCTGTTCTTACAACAGGTGTGGCTGTGATTCACAAACCCTTGTGACACACGATCAAGCCAATGTGAGGAGCAGAAGTGAAGTGGATCCAGCTAGGTGGTGTTGGGAAGATGACTGACCTCTGACTTGACCCATCTCATTGCTGTTAATGTCTTAGCATGACAAGTGATGCGTTGCAAGCGTCATCCACTCTGCAGTGGATTGCATAGCCAAGTGAAAATCCCTCTGGGGACGTGTTCCATGCTAGACACGAGGTGTTGCTTGTTATCTGTGGTGCAATCAGCTGTTCTTCTCGATGGCATGTGTCCTGAGATAATCACTGTGCTTGGACTGCAGGCACGGGATTTTTTGTGTGAAACAAAACTGCTACGTTTGGGCATGTGAGTAAAAACGAATGTTTCTGGATTTCTTCCCTACTGATGCTCCGTGCACATTGTTGGTTGAACTACTTACTCACTGTGCCTGGAGGGTGGACTTTAATACTGGCAGGGGAAACTTCTGAGTTCCAGCAGAGAAAAACAGCAGAAATGGACTGGAACAGGGTGGTCTGGCTCGAGTGTGGCGCTGTCTCAGCCGTATGTTTGTACATGCCACTGGACTGCTGTATGTATCCTGAAATGCTTGTGGAAATAAACACCATGTGGTTTTTCTACTTGCCATGAATGCTGTGTGCTGTGCGTGCCGGGACCTGCTGGGCAGTGCCTTCCCTGGGGCTGAGCTCTCTGCACCTGAGCCACTCTGAACTTCCCAGCCCCACACAACACATGCTGCTCCCACGGGCTTTGTTGCTCCTGTGAAACAAATGTTGCTTGAATAGAAAATGTTCCCAACCCACACTTTTCAGCTGTGCTGAAAGCTTCAGTTCTAGCTCTGTCCAGCATCTCAATGCCATTTCATAATAGAGCATTTAGATGTTAAAAAAAACCCTTATGGTGCCATTAATGTAGAGACATTCCGTGCAGCGAGAGCCCTCTGTCACCCAAGCAGGGATTAATGAGCCAAGTAAAATATCTGCAGTGTTTTAATGCTTCCAGAGCAGGGAGATTAACTAATCACTGTCAATGTAATTGCTATTTTAGTCTTGCCCTTACTAAAAGCATTCCTTTATTAGTATCAAGAACTCATAAGATTATTCAAAACAGACAAATCTAGATCCAGATGTAAGGGACCTGTCTTGCTTATTTACCATATTCCTAAAGTTTTCTGTTTAAGAAGATGTTTGACTTTAAAATACCTTTTTGTGTCTCCCTATGAGCTCTGACATGCTTCTGCATACAGAGAGGAGCTCCCAGAAGCTCCTTAGCTAAATGGAACTAGTGAAGAAAAATATTTTCTCTTCTCTTTTTCTTGTTGTTTGGGTTTGTTTTTTTTTTCTGTTTTCCCCTTGTAGATCAGCTGAGGCTTTTTGTTGTGGGCAGCTGTCCAGAGTTGTTATGCTGCTTCTGTCTCCATAGATCTGCTCTATGTGACCTTTGACAGTAGAAAAGAAAAATACTTAAAAATTTATTTCAGCGGGATCCAAGCTGCATCACCTTGTGCTGCTTTTGTAGAGGAGTGGGTTTCCTCTATAAATATGTGTTCTTTGGTGTTTGAGTTGACACAGTAAGATGGGTGCCTGTTCATGGTGGGGAAGCAGCCCCTGCCTGTGTTGTGTCACTGCCCTGCAGAGGGGCTGCCCTTCCCTTCATAGGGAATGTGAGGTAGCTCCCACTCCTCTTGGGATCTTCTTGCTTTCACAAACAAGGGCAAACTGTCTAAAGAAAAGGCATTACTGCTCTTTATGTCTACCCTTCCACTGTATGTGAGCTCAGAGATCTTGAAAATAGTAATTAAGGAAAAAAAATAGTCCTTTCCATAATACCCTTTAAACCTTTTGCTTTGAGTTTTACAATCTGCAGAGAAATGTGCCAAAATCATAGTGTGACATGCTGCTCTCCTCTGAGGTGTTGCTAACTGTCAAAGCCATTGGGGCTGGTAGGAATGTATCCCAGTAGGGATGTCTATCCCAGTAGGGATGTCTATCCCAGTAGGGATGTCTATCCCAGTAGGAATGTATCCCAGTAGGGATGTCTATCCCAGTAGGAATGTCTATCCCAGTAGGAATGTCTATCCCAGTAGGAATGTCTATCCCAGTAGGGATGTCTATCCCAGTAGGAATATTCTCCTGACTGCAGCTGCCTTCAGATCAGAGTCCTGAGATGCACCTTTATGGTGGCATAAGGAAGGTGCTGAGGCCTCAGCTGGGACAGACCCAAATTCACTGGCCCAAAAGGTGGTTCCCTTCTATGCAGCCTGGGAATAAAGGACAAAATGGGACAGACAAAGCATTTCAGTGCAAGGTAGCATCTCTTGTTAGGCAGAGGTGACTGGACAAGGCTGGACAAGCATTTGGGCGCTTGTTAGGTCTGGTACAGACATAAAGCTAAATAAACTCCTGTATAAGCTACTGTGCAGCCCAACTGCAGCTCAACAGTTGGGAACAGCTCCCAGCCAACATTCCCAGACCTCTGGCTTCACTGGAGTAAAGGCCAATATTACCCAGAGACTGAGAATTTATGTGGGCTGGAGATAAAAAAATTGGTAGGTACTGCTAGAGAGGTGCAGGGCTGCAATTTGCTGTGTTTGTCAGGTGGCAAAAGTGGGCATACCTGGAGGTGGGATAATTTTATCCCCTGCTCTCCATCTGTTCATAGAACTTTCTTAATTACCAGGTTTTGGTGGTTCTCTGCTCTTGTAAAATGGCATTTCTGCCCAGTGCTGGCCCAGAGCTGGCATGCTGGACAGGGCTAGGACTCACAGCCCTTGCCAGGGATGGGTGATGCTGTTCCCAGCCCAGCCAGTGCTCCTCGTGGTGTTCCCTCCCTTCCTTCCCAAACGTTGCAGTGTTATGCAAGTCAAGTGACCTCGTTTTCCAGCTATGCAATACAAACAACATGTGATGAACCAGCTGTGCCCCCCCACCCCCAAAATGCTTTTGGAATTTGTCTTTGATGTGTGGTTTCGTGTTTGTATTGTTCATTTTGAGCACCTGAGCCAGATCCTTTACAGATTGCCTTTTTCTAGGACTGAAAACGTAGCATTAGTACTAACAAATTTTATTGTAAATATTTTTATAAGACAATTGAAAATAATTTTTGGACTGCTTTTTATGGTCTTCAATGACATTTCTGTATCTAATTCGTGCACTCCAGTGTGGTTTTTGCTGGCTGTGGTGTAGGTGTGACTCTGTATGTTCTCTGCACAAGAAATGCCATGTTGTAAGGAAGATCTGGGATAGCTGCTGTGCTGGTTTTAATGTTAGAAGGACAGCACTGGGCTCCACATTATGAGATAAATTCAGACCCATTACCTCAGTCACCAGTAGGCCCTTAGATTATTGGTTATTTTACAATGATTCCAATACCCTGATTTAATCTCCTTGTGCCATGAGTTTGGTTCCTGGGTAGTTTGGAGGACAAGCTGTCACTTGGTGGTTTTGTTTCTTGTCTCCTGCATGAGTTGCTTGAAGACAGAGATACTGCCCACAACAGTCTGGGCACAACCCCCAGAATGCCAAGATCAGACAAATTATTGCAGAAGTTTTAGTAAAGCTTTACAGACCAAACCTTAACCTCTTCCTCATGTTGGTCCTTGGTGAATATGAACACTTTCCTCAGCTCCTTCTGTTGTATCTCGTTTTGGGGTCACCCTGTGCTTGACCCCTGTGGGACTCTGGCCCAGGGTTTCCTAAAGGGGATTTTGCTCCTGCAGAAAAGCCCCGAGGATGAGCCCCAGCCCCAAGAGCATCGTGTGTGGTGCACACCCTGCTGGGCTTGCACTGCAGGGCAGAATTGCCCCAAGCAAGCTGTTGTTTAAACAAGTCTGAATGAGGTCCATCTTTTCCACTGGTGCCTAATAGAGAAATTGGGGCGTTTAAAATCAATTTTCAGTTCATTCAGTTTATCCAAACAGTGTCTTTTTATGGATGTGTACAACAAGTAATTACCATGAATACACTTGGCAGTGTTTGCATGTCACCACCATGAAAGCTTGATACTCTTCTCTGGTTTATGTTGTTTGGAGACCAAAATCCTTAATATCCAGCAAGGTGTGGTGCCTGTTCCTGAAGCCAGTGATGGCTCAACAGGTAAATGCTGTTCATCATGCTACTGTGATGGTTCAACAGATGAATGCAGCTTGGTCTTAACCTTTGGGATTCATTACTATATTGTCAAAGCAGTTCTCCCCTTTGCCCACATCATGCCCAAAAATCACTTTCATGTGAGCATTGTTGCTCAAGGCTGCAGTGTTTGGGAGTGTGCTAGATATCATGGTCTGAATATGGGCTCATCCACTTTTTTTCATCCTCCTTTATCTTTGTTTATGGGTTTATAAATTATTTTCCTCTTCAGTGACAATAAATAAATAAATAAATAAATATTGATAATTTTAATTTGTATATTTTATGTATAAAGACCCTCAAGGGTAATGAATGATTGTGAAGTAATTTACTTGGGTGAGAAAAAATTTTGGTTTTGTAAACCAGACTACTTTGGTTCAGTAGCTGACAGTATACTCTAACAAGTTTGTTGACTGTTTAAGCTCATTTTTTAAATTAAAGATTTTTTTTGCATGAGTGTGGAGGACAAAGGACTTTGCAAAGTATCTCTCTTGACAGCTGTCTTGTCCAGTGCGATGAACAACTCAAGAAACATTCTTCACTGACATATTATGAAAGAAAATCACACTGTAGTTCCCCATCATTTAATTTGAATAAAAACTGGATTAATGAAACTTCTCTGGGTCTGGCTTTTCTTGGCTTTGTTGGCTTCTGACCATGAGGAGCAATCTCATCACTCCACGTGGCTTTGTTTGTCCCCTCTGTGATGACAGCAGGTGCCAGCCCTGGGTCACTCTGCCCCTTGCTGTGGGTGCTGGCACTCGCTCGTGCTGATGCTGAGATGCTGCCCTGAGGCTGCTCTGATGCTGAACCAGACTCTGCTCTGCTCCTTTTCCAAGGCAAGGTAAAAGCATTTCTCCTGGGGCTGGGGAAGCCCTTGGTTCAGCAGAAAACAGAAACTTTTAGGGAATGCATTTGGGAAGAGAGAAAAGGCAAAAAATGAGAGTTTAGCACCTAAGGCTCAATATTTCTTAATAACACCATAAAGTACCACATTAGCCAAGTCACCCAACTCATTTTGCTTCATGCTCACAAAACATCTCACTGAGCTCTTTGGTTTTCCAGAAATGCTCCTTGTGCCTCCCTCATCTGTTAATACCAATGTACAACATCAAATTTACCTTGTGGGATCCTGAAATTTAATTACCTGATACACAGATAATGAATGACATATTGTGGGTTGCTCTATGCAGCTGGGGGACTTTGCAATTATTCCTGATTTCATTTCAAAATGACTTTTCTCTTGTGCAGCTGGCTCCTTTTTATTCATGTTTAAACTGATGAATCTATGAACCTGCAGCTAAAGAAAAGCCTTGGCAATCCAGGGAGAAATCTCACTGCCTTGATTTTGCTGCCTGATTTTTTTTTTCTGCTCTTATTGTTTCTTTTTTTCACCTTATATTATATATCACCAATCTTATATTTTCACCTTTGGGCATGTTTTCCATCCTACATTTCACCCTTGACAGGGCAGAAACTGCATAGCAGTAGCTGCCACCTTGCCTCGTTCACCTCACAAGGGTCAGGGTTAGGGTTTTGCAGTGAGGAAAGGGAAAGCTGAGGGGAAAGGAAAGAAAACAGGGGGAAAATTCATCCAGTGGGGTTACAAGGTCAGAAAAGCAGCTCCTCTCTTTGCTGTTGGGCGTCACACATGCTGGGATAACCCAGGGTGAGATGTGCCTCCTCTGCAGCAGAAATGTTTTGTGATTTGGTGCCTGAGTCATCTGGAACTGGAATCAAATGGAGGGGAGGAGACAACCTCAGCTATGGAAACTCCAATGCCTGATCAAAGATGAACCTGTCAATTTGTGAATAAATAGGGCCAAAGAGGAATTCCCTGTGTCCCTGAGCTGCAGTGATGATCTGAGTTGGAGATGGGATGTGGCTGTGGAGGGTTCAGGTGGCAAAATTGCCTCTGCTCTGGCTGGAATCTTGTTCTTGGGCTGTGCTAAGGATGGATGGCAGAGAATAATGGCAGTTAAAAAATAACAAACTCTGTTGGATACTTTTGAAAAAGCCTCTAGGAGACAAAGGACCACTACAGAAACATTGCTAAGAACCAGCCAGGGTTCCCAAAGCATCCCACAGTTGCTCAGTGACTGATGATATTGCCTCACAGAATGTTATTCTGCACTGTAAACAGGCACAAAATCACTTAACTACTCAGTGACACGAAATATTCTAAGAAATTTGCCAAAGTGATTAATGTTAATGTTCTTGTTCAGCAAATTGAATGAGATTTAATTGGCACAGCTGCTGAAACTCAATGCATTTGATTTGGCCTTGATTTACAAAATATGTTATCATGAGCCTCCTCCTTCTTACACAGCAAACCTCCACAGCCTCTGCTAAGCACATTGCCCAGTGAATTACTGGTCTTAAATCTAGAGGGGTTTTATTGTCCACTCAGTAAGACTTCTAAAAAGGCCCTTTGAAGTACGAATACCTGTCCCAAAGGATCTGTTCTTCTTACCCAACCACAATAGGTTTAAATGTTACTTTTCAATGTTTTTCTTATACTTTGTTACATTATACTCTTTCTACAACATTTTGTTACTTATTATTTTTAAAATGCCCCTTACCTTTGAGTTTGGATAGAGAAAATGCTGCAGGATACGTGGTGCACTATGGTCTAGTCTCAACCAATGGACAACTCAAGAAAGAGGGGTTTTAAAATCCTGCAAGAGCAGGGCTTTATGTCTCAAAAATCAGTTGAGTTACTTGTTACATAAGTTGTTTTTAATAGCTTCATCTTGAACATAAAACATGCTTTTGTTTACCAAAGCATATGTGACTTTGGGAGTGGCTTGGTTTATCTAACACAAAATGAAACCGATATCTTTACAATCTTAGTTAAAGAAAAAAAAAAAGGTGGGGAGTCAGGTGGAGGCAAGTTACTTAAAGCAGGAGCACCTGCTTGATGACTTAACCTTAATTGCTATCACTTGGTTGAAGCACAGGAGTTGGCTGCCTCACTTGTACCCACCCTCCACCCTGGCAAGGCAGGGAAGCTTTGATCCCTGCTCTGGGCTGTCTACCATTTTTCTCTGCAGAAAGACCTCAGACACCCAGCTGGTCCCCAAACCCATGTCCCAGCAGGGGCTGGTTTCTGTGAGAGCTGCTGTGGTTCATATACCCAGCTGTCCCCAAACCCCTGTCCCAGCAGGTACAGACAGGACATGGTTTCTGTGGGAGCTGTGGTGGTGCACACACCCAGCTGTCCCCAAACCCTTGTCCCAGCAGGTACAGACAGGAGATGGTTGCTGTTGGAGCTGCTGTGGTGCATACACCCAGTTGTGCCCAAACCCTTTTGTCCCCAGGGGCAGAGAGGGGCTAATTTCTGTGAGAGCTGCTGTGATGCCTACAGCCAGCTGTCCCCAAACCCCTGTCCCAGCAGGTACAGACAGGGCTGGTTTCTGGGGAGCTGTGGTGGTGCACACACCCAGCTGTCCCCAAACCCCTGTCCCAGCAGGTACAGACAGGACATGGTTTCTGTGGAGCTGTGGTGGTGCACACACCCAGCTGTCCCCAGACCCCTGTCCCAGAGGGGCAGGCAGGGCTGGTTTCTGGGGAGCTGTGGTGGTGCACACACCCAGCTGTCCCCAAACCCCTGTCCCAGAGGGGCAGGCAGGGCTGGTTTCTGTGGAGCTGCTGTGTGGAAGCCATGGAAGCGGGGCTGACTGCGAGGGGCATTTGGCAGAGCAGGTTCCAGAGGCCATCACACCCCAGCCAAAGCAGAGCAGGGTGAGTGGGGAGGGAGCTGCAGCACAAAGGGCACCCACAAAGCAGGGGCAGGTCTCAGCCCCAGGGGCTCCCTGGGACACAGGTGGCTGCAGCCATTGGGGTGTTTGGCAGGGTCGGTGCTGGTGCCTGTGCCAGGTCACAGGGAATTCTTGTGTTCTCTCCTTTGTGCTTCCTCTCTGCATCTCTGATGGTCATGCTGTGGGATGCAAAAATTCTGGGATCCCTCCCTAAGTGCAGGGGGTGTTTTCCTAGGAGGAGATGATGCTTTGAGGATACAGCACCACAGATTTCTCTTGGCTTCACCTGTGCTTGGAAAGGGATATTTTTTTGAAAAGTTATTTTGTGTTTAATGAGTTCCAGCATTTTATATGTTTGTTTATGGCAAAGTATTGCATCCTCAGGTGCTGGCTGAAGGAATGTGATGCTCTCCAGTGCAACCCTGCTGGCAGTAGGACACACTGAGGGGCTGGATGCAGCCAGGGTGCTGGGCTGAGGGCTGCAGGCTCAGGTGGGAGTCGTGGCCTGGCTGTCCCAGCAGGGGTGATCCATCAGTGCCATGCGCCTCTTTGCTGATACAGGGCTCCTGGCAAGTCCTGGGTGATCCATCACGTGATAGCTCTCTCTGATTCCTTTCCAGGCTGTTATTTATTATGACTTTTTGTCTTTCTCTCTTTCACACTTCAGCACTTTCCCTTTGTCCCCTGTGTGTGCACAGTGTCAATGTCACCAGTCCTGCAGCTGGCGGCCTCCGTGCTGGTGACAAAGGGGACTCAGGGGATGCCCCTGCTCACAAATGTCTCCTCAGCTGCTCTGTGGCTCAGGGCACAAGTGTCAGCCTGAAGGGTGGTGCAGAGCCAGGCAGAGACTGGGGTACAGCCAAGAAGAAAGATCCTGCCTTCACAGAAGGGTATCCTGAGACAAGAGAGATTTATCAGGTTGTCATTTGTGAAGGGGGGTGAGGGAAGATGATTCCCATCTGGGTTGTGAAAAATGCCTCTTACCTGAAGACAAACTAATGTTTTTTTTTCTAGACTGAAGGTCGCATTGAGCTTTAAAAGTTAAAACATCATGTCGGTATTTTAAACTTGCTTAGAAAGCAGCTGCAAAACCTCATCTCAAAGGAGACCTGAATTTGGGTAAAGAAAACTCTGATTTTTTAGTGCTATGTGCAAGAAAAGGACACTTCATTTATTGGAGTTTCTCTCAAAAAAAAAAAAAGGGTGAGCAATCACTCAGCTTCCAGTGCCTTCTTGTCCTGGGGAAGTTTTGGTGTCTGTCACAGTGATTTTAACATTGTGACTGTGGTCTAAACAATTTCTCTTATGCAGCAACTACCTAAGAATAATTAACCCTAAATTAATCCCTCTCTGTTTTCTGTGTGTTTTATAATGTCTGATTGTTATGTTTGATAGTTAATATAGCAAACAGGTTTTTTTTCTGAAAAATGGAATTGGAAAGTCCTAAAAATGTATGTTAGAATGTATGTTAGAAAATAGTATCAGCTTTCTCCAGACTTAAGTAGCAGATATAAAGGATTCTTTCTGCCCCAGCAGGTGCTTATCGAGTGATAATTCAGGTTTTTCCAGGTGTGTGGCTGGAGATATTAGATATAATCAGGCAGTTCCCCATGAGATTCTCTATGTGCTTTATTATAAAGCCTATGTAATTTTTCCCCCCTTTATCAAGTTAATTCTAATTCTGCAGTTTCAAATGCGCGCAGCAGTTTGAGTCAGCGCGGGGTAAATGTCTGTTTTCTCTGGTGCTGGCAGGGTGCAATCATCCCCAGGCTGTGGGAACAATCACTCCAGAAAAATCCCTTTGAATGAGTGGCAGTGGGAGGAAAGAGGCTGGGGAGCCTGATGGGATTCGG